CAGATGCAATAATAATGAAATAAATGTAATGCTTCTGTGCTTGTCATAGTTCTAAACACGTACATACTAACTTATGCTCACATGTCTTATTACCTTTTTCAATATTACTATTTTCATCTTCCCAACAAGGAACCTGAGACAAAATTTAAGTGTCTAATGTTAAAAGTGGGACTGCCTGGCTGGGCGTGGCTCAGCAGATGAGCATCAACCTAGGATCCAGGACATCGCAGTTTGATTCCTGCCCAGGTTGCAGGCCCAATCTCCAGTCAGGGGCGTGCAGGAGGCAGCCAATCAATGCCAAGTCTGTCATCATTGATGTTTCTATCTCTCTCTCTCCCTCTCCCTTCCTCTTTCTGAAATCAATAAAGATATATATATAAAAAGTTGGGTTAAAACTTGTTTCTAACCCAATGTTTTATCCTGTTAACTTACTAATATTGCATAGGTACCGCAAAACATTCTCACTGTCTAAAAATAAAGTCTCATCATCTCTAACCTCAAAATTACACTCCCTCTCAGAGGAAATTATTAGTAGCATATAGATCTTTCTGGACCTTAATCTGTAACTTTGCCCATTTACTATATCTTCCAAGTTTTTGTTTCAATATACTGACATCTTTTAAAAACTGCTGCATTTGGACATGTACTGCAACATTCAATCTTCAATCATTTCCCTTTTGATATGACACTTTCCTTAACTTTCATGTGTGTTATTCTAGATTGCGGTATTCTGGATATATATTCAAGAGGGAGCTAATGGATTGGGGTGTGCAGTGTGAAAGAACAGTGGAAATTTCTACATGGTATTTCTGCCTTTATTCTGTCCCCCCTCAATCCTCAATCATTTCTGAAGGCTCTTGTTGCACAATGAAGGCGAGTAGTCCATCAGGATATAAATGGAGGGAGGTGAAATGTGAAATAGACTGATGCACCTCCTCAGGCTATGTAGTCCATCTTTGATTAAGCATAACACTGAGCAATTTAATCTAAGCACACCCATATGCATTATCTACTTTGATCCTTGCATCATACACGCCAGGTGGTGAAACAGAGTATTAGAGAGATCCAATGACTACCACAGTACAAGAAAATGCTCAAGTGTCATGAACTTTCTAGGGTATCTTGTCTCCCTATTCAGAGGGTAATGTAACTAGATGGCTACAGTGACAGGAAAGATTAGCAGAGTCTGACTGTGAAAAGAAGCAGGGGTGGTACAGTGCTTTTCAGTAGCCCTAGTCATGTGTCTCAGCCACCTAGAAACTTTTTCTTTTTAAAAAATATATCTTTATTGATTTCAGGGAAAGGGAGGGAGAGAAAGATAGAAACATCAATGATGAGAGAGTCGTCGATTGGCTGCTTCCTGCACACCCCCTACTGGAGATCGAGCCCGCAACTTGGGCATGTGCCCTGACCAGGAATCGAACCTCGATCTCCCAGATCATAGGTCGATGTTCAACCACTGAGCCACGCCAGCTGGGCTAGAAACTTCTTCAGTACACCTTTAAGGTCTTTGTTCCTGAGACTAGATGAGAGTGTGGAGCATAAGCTGAAGAATAGGAACAGGATAAGGAGCCCTGGCCACGTGGCTCAGTTGGTTGGAGCATCATCTCTCTCTCCCCCTCCCTCTCTCCCTCCCTCTCTCTCTCCCTCCCTCTCTCTCTCTCTCTCTCACACACACACACACACACACACACACACACACAGAGGTTTCGGGTTGATTCCTGGTCAGAGCAAATACCTAGGTTGTGGGTTTGATCCCTGGTCCGGTGTGTAAGGGAGGCAACTGATCTCTCTCTCTCTCACCTGGATATTTCTCTCTAAAATCAATTAAAAAAATCCTTGAGCGAGGATTAAAAAACACACACAAACAAACAGATAAGGAACTTCATCTGATTAAGACAGTAGCTCTTCTTAGGCTAGATTTAGTCAAAGGTGACTGTGCTAAAGAGTAGTCCACCACCACCACCTGGAAATTCAGGTTCCAAAGCTTCTCTCTGTCTTTAGCTGTACAGTTCCTTGGCTAGCTTTGCCAATATAGCCACAGGTGACAAGGGTCAAGTCCACGGAGACCAGGAAGAAGATGACTGTGGCCACTAAGACCTTGAACTTTTTGAAACAGGCCAGGTTATGCTGCAGAAAAACACAGCACCAATGTCTCAGTGGTTAAACACAAAAGTTTATTCCTCATTCCCACAAAGCGTCTGGGGACTCTCCAGGACAGCTGTCCTGCCATGTGGGTTATGCAGCATTCCAGACTGGTTTGATCTCGTGGTTCCTATCTATATGTGCTTCCATGATTGAGGCAAGAAAGGAAAGCACTACAGAGTCTTGCCACCAACAAATAAATGCTTGAGCTCAGAAGTGAGGCTTCTGCTCACAACCCACTGAACAAAATGACCTGAAGACCCTGTCGAACTGCAAGGAGCAGAAAAGCATTAACCATTCTCTTTTTTACTGTTCACTGTAAAACAAACTGCATGAGGTTATGCATTTTTTTTCTCTTTTGTTCTACTATATCCTTGGTCTACAACAGTCTGCCTGGGCACATAATAGGTCCTCATCAAATTAAGTGAATGAACAGTGCTAGGAAGAAATCCACATGTATCTCTGGAGAAAAGACAGAATCCCAGTAGTCTAAGGCTAAGGCTGTTAGGTAAGAGCTATGCAGACTAGAAATTCAGAGCTGGCCTTGATTAAAAAATAATACTTGGTATAGTTCATCTTGGGGAACAAAATAAACTCCCACTGAGAGTGCCAGACCATTAGCTCAGGTGATTTATACAGAAAAGCACTGAAGCCACAGACCAAACCCAGCCAGTATAACCTTTACTACCAGGGCTCAGCTCCTGAAAGGAACTGCAAGAGCCACAAATGCACCCTGCCTGGGTAGCTCAGTTTGTTAGAGTGTCATCCCAATATGCCAAGGTTGTGGGTTTGATCCCTGGTCAGGGCACATACAAGAAATCAACCAATGAATGCATAAATAAGTGGAACAAATAGATCTCTCTCTCTCCCAAATCAATTAAAAAAAAAGAAAAAGAGCCACAAATACATCTGCTCCTTTAATGTAATCAGTCCACCCAACATATCACTGGGGAACAGGGAAAAGGGGGAAAAAACGCACATTGAATGAGCATCTACTGTTGGCCAGGCTGGTAGGTACCTATTTTTCATCAACCCCCATAATCCCCAGATAAACCCTGAGGTGAGTATTTCCTCTATTTCATTGAGAAAACAGACTTCAGAGTGTTTCAGTAACAAATAAAGAAACAGGAATGTTTTATAAGCTAAAAATAGATATAATACAATGTCATCTAGGCTAGCTCTGCAGAGATAATCCTGCCTTCAGGCCTGACTGATGAAGCTAAGCGACAGCCAACAGACCCCCAAGCTATGGGGTCTTGAACAGAACAAGTCCCTGAATATGTGAGCCCTAACTTCTTCGTTTATGAAATAACACATTTGAAAGAGATCATTTAGCCCTTTTCCTGATACTACCTAAAAGCTCTAACAAGAACAAATGTGAGTCAAAGGTAAAGGTACATAAAGGATGAGTTATTTAAAAACCCACAGCAGAGCCATGGCTGGGTAGCTTGGTTGGTTAGAGCATTATCCTGATATACCAAGGTTTTGGGTTTGATCCCCAGTCACGGCACATGCAAGAATAAACCAATGAATTCATGACTAAGTGGAAAAATAAGCCCATGTTTCTCTCTACCTTTCTCTAAAATCAATGAAAAGGAAAAGAAAACCCACACAGCCTACAGAGATGTTCAGCAGTCTATCAAGCTCTCCCAAAGCTACTGCTAAATGCTTCGCTAGAGAAAAGATACTGGTAAACCATGCCTCTTTAATAGTTTACAGTGTAAGACAACCAACATGGATGTGGATTTGCCCACTTTTGCCCACCACTCAGCATCAGTCCTCAAACATTTTTTTTTGGAAACCTGGTCTCATGCTGACTGAATTCCCAGATCACCATGCCCAATGAACCACAGAATCCTGTCTGCATCACACAGTCCAACTCCCAAATAGAACTCTCCTTGTTCTCAAAAACAAACGGCAAATTAATAAGCAAAAACCCTGAGAAGTTTACCCTAAACTCCAATTAATTTTCCTTTAGGCCTCAGGAAAATGCTAATTTTTATGACTGTTTTATCCTATTGACTTTGTGAGGGAAGGAAACAAGGATACAGTTTACTTTGTTATTGAACAGAATTCTTCTTTACATCTAATACACATTCCATGACTAAAAATTCCAACCTGTTTTTATATGATTAGAAATGTTTTCCTTTCTCAAACACCACCAATGAGTGGCATATTATTAATGACCTGGTAGATTCCCTAGTGGTTAACTAAGTATGATTTCATCACAGAAAAATTGTGCTAATAGGATTCAAAAGCTAAAGTAGCTAAAGAGCTCAAGACGGAACTCACATGATGTCCAATGACAAGAGAGGAAGAAAATCCAATTTGGTCTTGGGAAACTTTACATTAGAATTCATTTCTACCCTATGAGACTATTGAAACTGATTATCCTACCACCCTGAAATAATGGTATCCAATAAAACAAGGATGTTATTGTTTTTGTTACAAAAGACTATGCTACAAATGTATGTATCAAGTGTTTAAGAGTGGCTGAGGAGTTAGTTCAATGCACAACCAACAATATTTACCTCTGTGACCACAGATGACTGATTGATTCATGGCTTCATCTGCTATTTGAAGCTGAATTTGTCATACTGCCAGGCACAATCCCAAAATAGACTTTTCCCTCATTCAGAATGTTCTTTGAACACCTTTTTTGCTAAGAAACTCCCTGAAGGTTGTAAGTATAAACAGTAAATAATACGACTACTAACATGTCTGCTGCAGAGTCCAACTTGATTCCTTTCTGTGAAAGTTTATATCTCCTAATTTTCTAGTGATAAAAATTTTTTCTTTCTTCATAAATTTGCATTCTTTCATAAACTTTCGAGTCAAGCTCCATTTGGTAAAATTCTTCAGACAGAGGACACTGAACAAGCTTCTTTTCACCAATGGAATTTCTACTAAGAAGGTTTGACTGCCTGCTGAAGTTTCTCATGCATATGCTACAGGTGGGTTCTCCGGTGTTTAATAAGGTGGGAGTTCTGACTGAACTTCTTCCCACATTCGTAACATGTAAAGGGCTTCTCTCCAGTGTGAGTTCTTTGGTGTGTGTGGAGATTTGAAGTTTGACCGAAGCTCTTCCCACACCATGAGCATTTATATGGTTTTAATCCTTGGTGTGATGTGAAGTGCTTATTAAGATCTGAACTCCATCTAAACCTCTTATCACACTGTGGGCATTTATATGGTTTCTCTTCAGTGTGAATTCTTTGGTGCTTAATAAGGTCAGAGCTAACTCTGAAGCTTTTCCCACATTCCTGGCATTTAAAAGACTTCTCTCCTGCACGCTCTTTGTTGTGACGATCCATAAGTTTCAGCAGCTCTTGTCTCCAGGCTGAAAGGTTCACTCTTTCCTTCACTGAAAAATCTTGGTGCCATTTCCCCATCCTGTGCATATCACCATGATTTTCTTTGACTGTTGGTTTCTGGGGAACTTTCACTCTGTCCATTTTTGAAACTATGTCTCCTGGTGTTTGCATTTCTAAGTCAGAAAGGCATATTGACTGATGATTTTCAAAGTCATTTTTGAGCTTTAACCCTGTTGGGATAAACATAAAAATCAACCAATTCTATGGCAGAGAAAGAAAATCTCAAGAATAGAGACAAAAACTCAATGATCACTCAATTTTATAATATAGGTAAGTAGAATCTTAAAATGTTAAGTCCTTGCAAAGGTTCCTAGTAAGGCACATTTTGCCTCTTCCCATGGTTTATTTACCTGTAGGCAGCTCTCTAGGACTGTCCTTGAACTCCATGGATTCTTGAACCCATGGCTCTTTCCCTTGCTCTAGACAGGTCACTTTAGGTTTGGGGTGCACAAATATGGCTGTGAAATGGAAAAACTGAGGTCAAAGACTGCTACTTAACAGTGTTCATTAGTAACAGACTATTTCAGGAACAGCAAAAAACACTTTTACAGTTTATTACCCCAAATGGTTAAATGGATAGACTGTCATATCAGGTATCAGGTTTATACTAACCTGTATTTTTGAGTGGATATGCAAAGTGGAGACTAAGAAATAAACCTAGCTTGATCAATCAAAAGGACATATGGCGTGGGAATCTTGTGCATATTCCCCCTCTTCTGCCACTAATAATACCCCAGACTTGACCAAGTTGGAATAAAACTTGCAGGGAATACAAGCTGGTTCTATTAACTCTTTAGGACTCACCCTGAATAAGATCTGGTCTAGCAGAGCCAATGTGAAGGCCAGTGGGTTGGGAATCATATGCATAAGTGATGGCTGTCATAATTATACTAACTTTTTATTTAGCAGCTGAGCACCAGACACTAGATTAGTAAGTATTTCTACCACTCTTAGCTCACTGGCTCACATCCTGTTTAATGAAACAGAGCAGAATCACTGAGTGGACTTCTGTAACTATAAATTACAAATATGGGACATATTCATCCTTCAGTCTCTTAATATGTGTATCGAGTCGCCATGGTATGTCAGACACTTTCTATGAACCAGGGATATGGTGATGCAGAAGCCAAAGTTCCCTGATCTCAAAGAACTTATCTTCTAGTGGGAGAGTGAGATAATCAAACATCAATAATCAAATGAAATGTCAGGAAGTGATAAATGTTTTAAAAGAAACTAAAGCAGGGTAAGAGAGCATTTAGGATTCTACTTCTGTGAAGCCATTTGAGATAGGCTGTGTGGAAGGCCTCTTTGAGAAAGTGATATTTGAGCAGACCTACAAGTGAGAGTTTTACTGTGTGGCAGAAAAGTGTGCCAGGTAGAGGGAAGCAGAAAGAAATGAGCATGACAAGTTCAAAACACAGCAATGAACCCAGCTGGTGTGGCTCAGTGGCTGAGCATCGACCCATGAATCAAGAGATCACTGGTTCGATTTCCCATCTGGCCATATGCCCCCATTTTGGGCTTGATCCCCAATAGGGGGCGTGCAGAAGGCAGCCAATTGGTGATGTTTCTCTCTCATTGATGTTTCCATCCCTCTATCCCTCTCCCTTCCTCTCTCTCTAAAAGTCAATACAAACATATTTTTAAAAAAACACAAAGCAGTAAGACTAGTGTGGCTAAAGAGAACTGAATAAGGGCACCAGTGGCAGGAGTTGAGGGCAAGAAGTTTAAGAGGCCAGATTTAGAGGGTCCTGGAAGCCTTGGTAAGGAGGTTTGATTTTATTCTGAATGGATGAGAAGTCATCATAAGGTTTTGAAACAGGAAAATGTAATAATCTGATCAGGTTTTAAAGACTATGGCTGCTGCATGGAAAACAAACTATGGGAGGGCAAGGCTGATGGCAGGAAGATCCAGTTAAAAAATTACTAAGGTAGTCCTGGTTAGAGATGGCTTAGACCCGGATGTTAACAGCACAGGAGGATGAGACATGGTTGGACTCAGACAATACTATAAATGTGGAATCAAAAGGATTAGTGATGCATTAATAGTGGAATATAATGGGAAGATCAGAGTAAACAATGACTGTATTGTTCTTGCTCTGAGCAACTGGGTGAATGAAGGTGCCCTTTACTGAGTACAGAAAGATATGAGAAGAGCATGTTTGTGGGGGAAGAGGGAAAAGAGATCAAGAATTCTATGCAGGATAAGGAATGTGTACTTGAAAAAAGCTCCCAAGTGATATGCATTCACTTTTTTCCTGCCTATACCATTGAGTTGAGAACCAACCAGCTACTACAACACTCTCTCACAAGAGTGCATTCCCAGTAAGCTGAAAATATGACAAGATTACTCAACTTCTACACAAAGGGAAGGGAGAACCTTTACCTAGAGAGATGACAGTCTCATAATTTTCTTGCATTACATCATTGTAGAGGGCCTTCTGACTGGGATCCAGTAACTCCCATTCTTCCTGGGAAAAATACACAGCCACTTCTTCAAACGTCAACAAGCTCTAAAGAAGAGAATGGGCCTCAGCTCAGTACCTGCCACTCCAGAAGCAGCCCTAACATCCAGCCCATGAGCTGTATGGTAGGCTGAAGGCATTAACAACACGTTTTTTGTTTTGTTTTTAATTTCCTTTTGATTGATTTGAGACAGAGAGAGAGAGAGAGAAGGGGAGAGAGAGAAAGAGAAGGGGAGAGAGAGAAACATCGATTTGTTGTTCCATTTATTTATGCATTCATTGATATTTATGCATTCACTGACTGTTTCTTGTATGGGCCCTAACCAGGGAATCTAACTTGCAACCTTGGCATACTGGGACGACACTCTAACTAACTGAGCAACCCCACCAGGGTACAGTACATTTTTTTTTTTTTAAAGTGAGTAGGCAGAAAGGAAGGAGATCAGCAAATAGCTTGGGAGGTGTCCAGTTCCCCGGGGAGAACGTCTGGGCTAACATGCCTCTGAGCACCTGTTGGGCAGCGTGGGTCATGGGCAGCAGGGAAAGGCAGCCCTAAACAGCTCAAAAGCACAGCTCACCTGGGACTCAGGCAAGATGAGTTCAGGTGCTACTATCCAGTCTTTGACATTTGTGTGCTCAGGAAAGTCTACGATCTGGTGAGCAGGCACAGCTATGGGTGGAAAAGAGCCATCAGAAATTTCTCTCACTTCTATGTACATCCTGAGCTCTATTCTACAGTAAAGAACATCTTGACTCAGTAGTTGGGAAACCTTTACAAGTGTGTGCGGTACCTGTAAGCGGCCTAATCATTGTTAATAAGAACCAAGTATCTATTAACCCCCAGAACAGGTTGCCCAGTTTTCATGAGCGAAATTATTAAAACAAAAACCCTTATTTTCCTCTGATGACATAGTTCTGAATTAAGAAAAATTTAATGGATTTGAAAATGAAATATGGACTCCAGTGTACAGTAGATGTACTGTTTATCATTTTTTTCCTGATACACAACTGTATTCACATACCACCATTGACAGCCCATTTGTGATCCCAATTCCTTCTGTGTTTTCAGGATGGGTGGCCCAATCCTCTCCACTTTTCTAAGTGTTCATGATGTTATTACCAGGGTCCTCTGGTTTGGATGTATCTGTACCTTAGGCCAATCCCTACCTTCACCACAGCTGGTATATTCTAAGGCCATTAGTGGGGGCTGAGGTAATCCTACTTGCTAACATGGCTGCATATGCACATCCACAGAGCTGGGAACCCAGAAAATGCTCACAATGTTCTGACCAGACAAATTACTATCAGAGCTCCCAGCAGAAAGATATTATCATGAAGCTCCTTACCCCTCTCACACACAGGCTCAGTTTCTTTATGAGTATTCCTGCTCAGCTGTTGTTGTAGATCCTGATATTCATTCCAAAATTCTTCATCCTGGGACCTGCCCACTGGCTGGGATTCTGCTGACTTCAGTTTGAAGCCTGGGGTCTCTGCTGTTTCTCCCAAGAGCATTGCCTCCTTTCCCAGCACATGGACTACAACTTAGAAATAATTCCCATCTTTGTTACCAGAACTTACTTTTAGGCTTGACGGCTGGTAGTAGAGCAGGGGTGGGGAACATCTGGCCCGTGAGCCGCATAAAGTCACTTGGTCTGGCTCTGCCAAGGCAACCACAGGCGGGACTTGAAATTCAATAAATCCAGGAACTTCTTCATAGCTAATTTTTAAGCTGATAATTTTGTATTGCCCGTGAATGATGTTATAAATATCCAAATCGCCCTTGGCAGAAAAATGGTTCCCCACCCCTGTGGTAGAGGGAGGAGAAAGCATAGAGTCCAGATTGCAGGAAGTGTGAGACACTAAATGACAAAAAGACTTAAAGACATAATGAATGGGCCACCAATTTTCCACAAAGAACTATCAACAAAATCTGGGAAATTTAGTATAAAAGGAAAAAAGATGTGGCTACTGCCAGCCCTCCAACACTGCAACCCCGATGCCTCTGCTTGCAGCCCAGCTCAGACCGCTAGCAGGGTTGTGCAGGCCACCTGTTCTCATGCCATCTTCAGAGTGTCTTTCTCTTCGCTTAGATCCCTGCTGCAGTGATTTCTTGTCTTATACTTTTCTCAAAAGATTAAAAAATTTGCTGTAGCTGGTTTGGCTCAGTGATTAGAGCATCGGCCTGAGGACTGAAGGATCCCGGTTCAATTCCGGCCAAGGGCAGGTACCTCGTGCCTCAGGTGCAGATTCGATCCCTAGCTTTGGTCGGGGGCATGCGAGGCAACCAAATGGATGTGCCTCGTTTACGTCAATGTTTCTCTCTGTGTCTCCCTTCTACTCTCTCTGAAAAGCAACAGAAAAAGTATCTGTGGGTGACGATATAGTAAAAAAAAAAAATGATTAAAAAACTTAACTCCTCTCAACCAGATTTTCTCCATGACCAGGGAAGGTTTTACAGAGAATGGATATAATGGAGAAGAAAGGGAGAGGAATCATTCTGGCTCCAACCTCCCTCAGATGATTTTGACACCAAACGTATGTCCTGTTTTATTTTGTTGTTTTTATTAACCCTCACCCAATGATATTTTTCCCATTGATTCTAGAGAGTGGGAGGGAGAAGGGGAGAGAGAGGACAGAAACATCAATGTGCAAGAGCCACATCAGTTGGTGCTTCCCTCGCACTATGACTGGGGCGGGGAACTTGCAACCCAGGAACGTGCCCTTGACCGGATATTGAACCCAAGACCCTTCGGTACTTGGGCTGATGCTCTAACCACTGATCCACGCCGGTCAGGGCCTGTCCTGTATTCTCGACAGTAGGCCTGAAGCCAGTGGATATGGTGCCATCTGCCCAAGGGCATACCATGGTTTCCCACTCACTAACAGAGCCAAGGACCAACCACTACGGGAGGGCAGTGGAGGCTCTTGACTGTGGTATGAAGGGACACTCTCCCTCACCATCTTTTTTCTCTCAGCCATTCCGCTGGGGGATTTCCAAACATTTGTTTCCCGTTTTTCTTTCTACTCTACTATCTTCTCTCTTTTGTTCTCTAAGTGTACTCCATTTCTTCTTCTGTCCCTTACTCTCCACCTCCTTGTTGCCCTTTGTTTCTAAGAACTTAAGACCCATCTCATAGGTCAAGCCAAACTAGGCTTATTACCCTCAATATACCCTGCTCTAACAGGGGGAAAAACCAACTCTTTCTGTAAGGCCACAGAAGTCTCTGCCAGGGTCTCTGAAATCTGTGGAATGAGTATTGCTATGTGTCTGTGGTCTCTGGTCCTGCCTTAAATGACCCAAAGGAACAATAGGTCACAGGCCTAACTCATCTTATTTCTCAATTAAATGCCCTGGCACCCCATATATCCACCTTCATACTATTTCATTGTTATGTATCAGGAATTTTTCTTCTTACCCCATTTCTCCTTTGAGCATATTCACTCTGCAAGTGGTCTACCAAGGCCACAGCTTCCTCAATGCTCTATAGATTGTGCTTCATCATCTGGGATTCAGCATCCCTGTGCAGAATGGTCAGACACTGCTCTAGCACCAGCAGATCCAAGATCTGCTCTTTTAAGTAAACCTCTGGCCTCAGTATAATTCTTGAAGTTGGCCAACAGCCTCACGGAGCCCACCTGCCTTCATGACAGTGGGAGCTCTGGAAGTGCTCTCCAGTTCAGACTGTCTGTTTGTGCAGTATATTTCTTATTCTGGGTGGAGCTGTGTCACAGGTCCCTTGATCTCCCACAGAGCCCTGACCTAAGGATTCTAGTACTCAGACATCTTCAGACCTACCTTCATCATTATGCTCTGGAACAGTTGCTCCTGTGTTGGGAACACCACCAGTACCACCTCTGACAACTGAGGCCCAATCTGGTCTGGAATAAAATCAATAAAACGATCTTCTTCCTAAGGCACTGAGAGCAGAAAAAAAGTGCAAATCAATAAGAAAGTCATGCCCGGCCGGGCGTGGCTCAGCGTCGACCTAGGATCCAGGCGATCAGGGTTCGATTCCCGATCAGGGCACAAGCCTGGGTTGCGGGCTCAGTTTCCAGTCGAGGGTGTGCAGGAGGCAGCCGATCGATGACTCTCTTATCATGGATGTTTCTATCTCTCTCTCTCCCTCTCCTTTCCTCCCTCTGAAATCAATAAAGATATATTTTAAAAAAAAATAAGAAAGTCACATGAACATTACTACTTGCTACTTATTCTGAGAGAAAAATGAAAACATCCTGCCTTGCCTTCCCTTTAAAGTCAACTGCCAGGCAGGTGCTCTGTTCTCTCCTTTTCTTTGTATTACTCAGTTGATCTATAGCACAGCTCAGTAAAGACAAATGTCAATTCATGACTTTGCCTTTACAAGAAAATAAATCGGGGAAGGCGGGTGGGTGAGGGAATTGGCACCCACCGGCTCCAAAGNCAAGAAAATAAATCGGGGAAGGCTGGTGGGTGAGGGAATTGGCACCCACCGGCTCCAAAGAGTTTGAGGATTATCCAAAGAGTTCATTGATGTGCTTCCTATCTCATCTCCCCATGTCAAAGATTAGAAACATCTGAGCTTTTCTTACATTTTAACTATTACCCTAGTCTTCTGCTTTTAGTATGAGGGTACAACTTCTATGACCCTGCATCCTCCTGTGATGATGGAAGCCTTCACTTCGTGGAACATTTGAGGTTCTCCTTTACTCGTGGGAATACTGGCAGGAGAGCTGAGACAGTGAGACCAGAGTAGAAAGAAAGCAATTAGGGGGAAAGTAGACTTTTCTTCTCAGAAAGCATCCCCCAATTAAGTAACAAGATGCTCAACATTCTTTTTCGGCACTTCTTTGCAAAGCGTATGAAGGGCACTGTGCAGATTTACACCTGTATTTTGAAGTTTCTGTTCGCTTCAACTAGGAAAAATTACAGCCGACCTTTCTTTACAAAATGTTTGTCCAAGTACCAAGTCATAAAGACGGAGAGAATGGCAGCTGGTGATGATTAAGGTGACCCTTCTGCTGACTTTACGTTTCAAGGGTCTTTCAGACTTCCGAGTAAGGCTACGGAGAGCCTCGTGAGCCTCTCCGCCCCCGAGATGATGCAGCAGAACCGGCACGGAGATTCTGTGCAGGATGCCACGGCATTCACAAATGGTCGGCTCCTCGCTGCCCACCCCGGCTCAGGAGGCCCGAGGGCTTCTGCATCAGGAGAAAGTGCTCTCTCTGACGCTGAACTGCGGCTTTCTGGCGATTAACATCAGCAGCAACCTCCCACACACCCACAAACCCCCCCACAACACACCGGCAGAGACGGGAAGTGGACTTTTCTGGAGGGCAGTCGGGCTTCGTGAGCACGGTGCAAGCGGGCAGTGTGGCAGCGTGCCCCGCCGCGGGCCCGGGAGCTACCTGCGCAAAGGGCAGAAAGAGTGACCTCCGGGGAATGACGGCCGGACTNCTGACGGCCAGTCTAATCCCAGACTGTCTGGCCCCAAGATCCAACCGTTTGGCCACGAAAAAGGGCGTCTCGCCTCCCACCTCCCTGGAGCGGCCCAGAGCAGCGGCCGGCAGGTCTCCGGAGCCCCGCAGCCGGGGAACCGCTTCTTGGTTACCTTGGAGAGCTCGGTTTCGGAGAGGCCGCTCCCTCTTCCTACTGCTCAACCGCAAACCACCGCCGCGCTACACCCGGGGGCCGCGAGGTCGGAGGTGGGCGATTAGCGTACGGTCGGCACGCAGTCCTACAGACCCCTCTCCCACGAGGCCCGTACGGCGTGGGGTTCTACCCGCGCCCCGCCCCCGCGCTGCTACCGGAAGCGAAAGTTGAGCGCTTCCGGCCAGGCCGAGCGCAGCCGCTCAGCTCCCAGAGCGCCGAGGCTCGGGGAAGCGCTGGGAGAATCGGCCTGCGCCCCCACTTTAGCCAGGCTGCGGGGAACTAATGCCACCGAGTCCCCAAGTCGCCGCGCCTAGAGTGGCCTCGTTGCGGCTTGGCAGTGGGTATCGCCCTCTCGCGGTGAGCCGTTAGGCTTCCGAGTCGTTTATGTGGAGTGTTGCGAAATAAAGAACTGGGACCCGCTAGAGAATGACCTGGGGGAGACAGGTAGTGGGGCAGGGGCACTTCGAGGGGACGTTTGTTCTGAGACGTGAGGGAGAACGAGCTGGTTGTGCCAAGAACTGAGAGGAGAGCACTGCAGCCCCAGGACACAGCACACTCCAAGGCCTCAGGTGGGAGAGGACTTTGCACATTTGAAAAAGAAGGGAGGGTTTGTGACTAGAGCTTCAGGATTAAGAAGAGTGGTATGAGACGAAGTGAGAGAGAAAGGGAGGGGCCATGTCATGCGGGGCCTTTCAGGCTGTGAAGAGGAGTTTGGGTTTTATTCTGTGTGCAGTGGGAAGCCACTAAAGAGTGTTATCAGGGATGGACGTGATCTTTCATTTTTAAAAGATCTACTGGATTCCATATAGACAGAAAATGGATTACAGGGTCCAGCAGGTGAGGCAAGATTTCAAATTAGTTAACAGCACAATAGGGTGGAGATCCTTTATGTGATCTATTCACAATTAGTTGTATTACTGTGAACATGTTTACCTTGACCTTCTGCATAGCAGTTCTTCATGTACTTAAACACATTAAACCCCCAGCCCCATCCAGGTTAATCTCTTTCAGAATACATTTCTATTATTTTTGCATTTCTTATGAAGCTCTTTTTGTTTTTACTTGTTTCAATTTTTTAGGAAAAAATATTAAAATTTTTCTTAATTTAGGTGAAATTCATGTAACATAAAAGTGGCCATTTTCAAGTGAACAATTCAGTGGCATTAAGCACAATCACACGTTCTAAAACTTTGGCATCCCTCCAAAGTAAATCCTGTACCCATTCCTGTAAACAGTTGCTTCTTGTTCTCTATGGATTTGCCTACTCTGGACATTTCATAGAATTAGAATCCTAAAAGATGTGACCTTTTGTGTCACGCCTCTTTCATTTAGATACCAGTGAGACACTAGCAAAGGCAGGGAACAAATCAGGTCACACAAAAGAGCTGGACTTGGCAGATGGGAAAGTGGCAGGTGCACCATGGGAATCTTAGGAAACCAGGACTTTCCTGTCTGTTTTCAGTGAGCCTCAGTTTCATGAGAAACTCCAGGTACACAAGCACAGCAGCCAGCTATAGAAAGAAGTAGCTCTTCTGTGAATGAGGTTTCCACTGGACTCTGGAGCAGTGTCAAACATAGTTCAGAAGCTTCCTTGACAGCTGCTGTCGAGAAAAGCAAGGCTGCAGCACAGAGCCCTGTGCCTTTCAAGAGAAGATGGAAGATCTAGCCTCATGAGTCTCCTCCAATTCTCCTAGAAGCTTGGCAAACAAGGCTGTTGAGGCAAAAGGGGCAAGCCAACATCCATGGGACTGGAATGAGGAGGGGTACAAGGACAGTAGAGGACTAAGAAAGCTGAAAATGAAGAGCAAGCAGCCAGTCCTGGAAACTGGGAGCTCTGGCACTTATAGCCTGCTCCAGAGCCACTGGTTTAAGGACATCTCTGCATGTGTCCTGGTACTGACTGATCACCTATTAGCAAACTGCTCCCCCAGACTGGGTCTTGTCTTCCAGTGATCAATTGAAGATGGTTCCTGTTCCCTCGTTGGTGGGAGTATGCGGGGATAAAACCTACAGTGGAACCCAACATAAAGCCATTCATTTGGCTAGGTGAAGGTTATATATGGGGGAAAGTAGTACCTAAACCCTTTTGTTGTCTGGGTAGTCCAGGGGATTTTGTTTTTGAGTTGTGAAATTGGAAGGCCAAAGCCAGGTATGTTGCTGTCACCAAAGTAATGAATTGTCTGAGTAGGTATGATATCTAGATTTTGTCAACAGAATATAAAAGAATGAAAGTGATGTTGGCCTGGGGAATGAGTACTATTCTCTGTGAAAGGTGGGTGATGTCCTAGTAGGTGCCACCGTGTGAATTCAAAAGGCTGTCATTAGTCTAGGAATCAGGTTCCATTGCAGCTGCAGGGTAATGGAGCAGAATAAGAATGATCGAGTGTGGGGGCAGAGGGTGGGTTTCATTTTTAGTTTGGATTTCAGGGTAGTCCTCATTGAGAAAATGACATTTGAACAAGGACTATGAGGAGAAGGAATGAGCCATGTGGTTCTCTGGGGGAAGAGTGTAACAGACAGAATGACCAGCGCAAAGGCTCTGAGGCTGGAGAGGAGTCTGGCAAGGAGGCCACTGTGACCTATTGCAGATTGAGAGAGGATGAGAGTAATAAGTGAGATCCACGAGATCCAGATCATGTAGGGCAGTGCCTTTGGAAGTGACCTGAACTGAAATTGAGAGTGTTTATAAATTTTTACAGCAGTCTGACATTGCTGTACTACCCAACTGAATTTTTTTTAAATGCTTTCTCACCGATCTTTTGATAATCACTAAAATAGGGCCTAGAGTCCCTATGTAAAGGACTTTGTAAGGACTTTGACTTTCTGAGTTATAAGGAGCTAGCCTTGTAGGGGGAGTAGTAATTTTAAAATGACTTAATATTTCAATTTATTTGGTAGTTAACTATTTAAACATTTGTTTGTGTCTCTCTTATGTTACAGAGTCTTTTATAAGACTGTGGCCAAAGTCAGGGCAGAATCCATGTCATATTGATATGTGCATTTCTCAGAACCTAGCACAGTTGGCCCTCAATACACGCCAGTTGAATTGAATGTAAAAGGAGAGGGGTCACGTTAACTACTGGATTGAGAACAGACTGTAGGAGGTCAAGAGTTAAAACAAGAAGACCAGGGAGGCAGCTATAGCGAGATCAAGTCATGAGATGTGGGTAGCTCAGAGCAGAGTGGACTAGAAGGGACGATGATAGAAGCTCTGTGCCCTTCAAGAATCATGACCAGATGTAATCAGAATACACTTGCTGGGCCAGCTCTAGCCAATGAGCCCTCATCAGCGGGCCCAGATGGGCACCCCATAAAAAGCATGCTGGAGTTCTAGCCAGATTTTCTCAGTGGTTAGAACATCGGCCTTTGGACTGAAGGGGCCCAGGCTCGATTGTGGCCAAGGGCACGTACCTCAATTACAGGCCTGATCCCCAGCCCCACTCGGGGCGCATGCAGGAGGCAACCATTTGATGTCTCTGTCACATTGATGTCTCTTTCTCTCTCTCTTGCTTTCTCTATCCCTCTTTTCCACTCTACTACTCTCTGAAAGGCAATGGAAAAAATATCCTCAGGTGAGGATTTTTAAAAAAAAGCATGCTGGGCCTCAACTGGGTGCAGGAATGAGTGTTGGATCTCGCATCACCAGCCAGCCTGAGCTGCTCTTCTGTCATTAGCTGCTTATTCTAACCTTGGGATAGTAACTGATATAGTTTCGTTTCTACCAGGATGATAGGAGATATAACAGATGGAGATGGGCAGATCAAGGGTACTCAGACATCAGAAGTGGGAGTAGCCCGGCCGGGTGTGGCTCAGCGGTTGAGTGTGAACCTAGGATCCAGGCGATCGGGGTACAATTCCCGGTCAGGGCACATGCCTGGGTTGTGGGCTCGATCAATGACTCTCTCTCTCATCATTGATGTTTCTATCTCTCTCTCCCTCTCCTTTCCTCTCTCTGAAATCAATAAAGATATATTTAAGAAAAAAAGAAAAAGAAGTGGGAGTAGACAGAAGTCTCCTATTATCAGCTCTTCTCTCTTCTGGATCTTTGCTTCCCTCCAAGTCTTGCCTGTTCACCATATCCTCTTATGTGGCCACACCGCCTCAGGGATTCCCATCAGTGTGGAGACAGGCAAGCACTATCCTTATTGAATCATCTCTCAGGGAAAATGAGTGGGATTCAGGATAATTAAGGAGAAATAAAAAGGGAAGCTTTAGTAAATACACTGCAATCTTTCTCAGTTGGAGAGGATGTCTTCTCTACCACATTGGAAGTTTTTGTTTTAGGAAAAGTGTCCACAGTGAGATACCTTCCAGGAATGATGGTAGCCAGTTGTGGCATAGTTCGAGAAACTCATATGTTGGGCTACTGAAACCCTGCACTGAGGTATCCAGTCCTTTCTGATAGGATCCCTGTGTTCTTTGTCCCGTGGTGCAGGTATGCACTGGGGCGATGAGACCAAAACACTCCTGGCCACTCTCAGCAGTTCTGTTTCATAACTCCAGACCCATCAGCAGAATAACCAGAGCCACAGGCTGTGCGGGGAAAAGTCCAGGAGCAGGGTTTTCTGGGGATCCCATAGCAGTGTCACACCAAGTTCAAAAGCCTACAGCCAGGTTACTATAAAGTAAGGAGAGGTCGTGTGCCTGAGTCTTACATCTTTTATGAGGAAATGGATGCCCTTTTAAGCTCCTCTGCACCTCCTGTGGCAAGTGATGCTATTTCTGGCCAAGAGGGAAATGACATGGAGTCTGGAGAGCTGAGTCAGCAGAATAGGGAGTCCACAGAGGTTGGACAAGGTTCCACTGTAGATGGTATAGCCAGGGATGAAAAGGACTTTGTTATGGGATTTGACCTGCCAGTCCCAAACATACTTGGTAAGACTACTGGCTCTGATGGTCAAAGGATGGGAAAGTACACTTAGAAAGAGTTATTTTTGCTTCTGGCCTTGTCATCTTCTTGATGAATAACCATATACAGGCCAGTGGGTTTCAGTTTTCATGGAGTTTAGGGATTATTTCCCTTGCATTTTTGAGTCCTAATTTTGCATTTGCTAATCTCTTTCACAGAGTCCATGTCATTTTTTTCTCATGGAGTTTCACTTACTTTTCTTCCTTAGGTTGCCAGTTAGGCCTCTAGCTCAGACTCTCTCCCCTCCCCTCATTTCATAACCTAAGTTTATGCTTGCCAGGTACTCAGAAACTTGCTTTATTCTTGTTTCAATTGCCCAAACTCAATGGCTTTTCATGATACTACTCCCAGAAGCTAGGCCATTCAAGAATTGAGAATACACCTACAGACAGATCGACAGCTACCACAGGGCTTAACTCTTTGCTTCAGTTTTGTCATCATGTCAGAACATCCAAAAAGATACAGAATAGAATAAAAGTAGGGAGGTGTACAGTATATTTACCAATGACCACAAATTTGGAACTAAAAAGTATTAGAATTGGAAAATAAAATTTAGGCTTTTCATTAGCAGAAGACTGAGTCACATGAAGAATTCCAATTAGGTATTTCTTCTAAAGGTAGTTTAATTGTAACTCTTTCCTCATTCCATTGTTTTCCTTCTCCAGTGTCCAGTGTAATTTTATTCTTTCAGTTTCTGAGAATCTGAAATGGGATAATTCAGAAGAAGTTGAAATGAACAAGGTTTAACAGACAAAGCCTAGTAGAAAAGATTTTTGGTGCTCTGAATCAAATACAGGTGAGGAGAGTGAGCCAATGTCAAGAAAGCAACATAGACATTGTCCAAGGGACAGTGAGGAGACAGTCCCATCCCAGGAGAGGATGAGTCACCAGAGACTTTGGACTGAGAAGCAACCCTGGACACATCTCTTGTGTGGGAGAAAATGCTCTCAGAGTTCTCCCTCCTCTCATCACCAGCCAGCCCCTGAACTGGAAAAAGCTTCTATATGACATAAATGTATGAAAAGCTTTAGCCAAGGTTCTTATCTTGCTCAGCATGAGAGAACCCACACAAGAAAGAAGCCTCACAAGTGCAGTGAATGTGGGAAGGGCTTCAGTGAGCACTCCAACCTCATTGCCCACCTGACGACTCACACAGGGGAGAGACCATACCATTGTGGGAGATGTGGGAAAACCTTCAACCAGAGCCCCAGCCTCATTACCCACCAGAGGACCCACACTGGGAACAAGCCTTATCAGTGCAGTATCTATGGGAAGAGATTCAACAACAGTTCCCAGTTTAGTGCTCTCCAGCAAGTCCACACAGTGGAGATCCCGTACTCGTGTGCCCAGTGTGGGAAAAGCTTCAACAACAGCTCCCACTTTACTGCCCACCAGAAAACCCACACTGGGAAAAGCCATACAAGTGTTTTCAGTGTGAGAAAAGCTTCACTAAGAACTCACCCCTCATCCACTATTGGTATACACATAAAAGTGATACATCACTGGAAGGAAGAGATGTGCTGAATTTGTAGAAAACCTGACTCATCATCTCCTTAGGTCAACATGTGTTTCGTAGAGTGTTCTTCTGTGGAGGGTTCTACTAGCCAATCCCTGACCTAGCAGTAAACTTGACAACTGGATCTCAAGAACCATGTCCAGGAATTAGAATCAGCCTAAGAATGCAGAGCCCTTTTTCTACTTCTGCCTAGAACTTCACAGTCCTGTCAAACTGTGGATTTCCATTTTGCTTTGAAGGGGAGAAGGCTATAAAACCCATAATTCCTGCTGGGAATCTAGGATATTCTTGTTCTGAACAAAGAACATGTGGTAACGGCCTGAGAACTGGGCCATATCAGGGAAGAAATTCTACTCCCTCTTGGGGAGGACATCTAGAATTTTAACAGCCTGAATCTGTTCTAAACCAGTAATTGATCTCTAGGGCACCTACTGTTATATACTACTGTGAACTTCAGAGAAGGTCACTATTATGCAACACAGCCACCACCAGAAACGGAACAAAGGAAAGGAAGGATACATTAAGCTCCCGAGTAATACTAAGCGTAAGCGACCTAATCTTTTAGCAAGCATAATATCTAGTTTAATTTTGTAAGATTTCTTATTTTACCATCACTCCCAACCCAGCTTCTGGTTTCTTCTCTCTTAAACAGTTTTTACAAGTTTATAAGCATTATTATTTCTGATTAAAATAAAGGTGTTTCTCCCTCCACTTCCTTGGCCTTTGGGCATGCGCTTCGGTTGCAGGCTCAATCCCTGGCCCCAGTCTGGGCTTGTGTGGGAGGCAACCAATCAATGTGTGTCTCTCACATTGATGTTTCTCTTTTTCTCTCCCTCTCCCACTCTCTTTGAAACACAATGGAAATAACATCCTCTGGTGATGATTAAAAAAAAATCTAAGATTAGAATTAATACATTTCATTTTATATGTTACTGATTCATACATTTCCTAGTATAGCATATTTAGAACAAATAGAAATTACAAATATGTTTAAAAGAATAAAATCCTGCCCGGCCGGGCATGGCTCAGCAGTTGAGCGTCGACCTAGGATACAGGCGATCAGGGTTCAATTCCCAGTCAGGGCACATGCCCGGGTTGCGGGCTGCAGCTGATCAATGACTCATCACTGATGTTTCTATCTCTCTCTCCCTCTCCTTTCCTCTCTCTGAAATCAATAAAGATATATTAAAAAAAAGAAAAAAGAATAAAATCCAAAACATGAGGAATTTACATAAAAAAAAGTTTTACTTCTTCCCTGACCAGTATTGCTCAGTGGTCAGAGCATTGGCCCACACACCAAAGGGCCACAGGTTTGATTCCTGGCTTGCAGGTTTGTTCCCCAGCCTTGGCTGGGGTACGTGCAGGAGGCAACCAATCAATGTGTGTGTGTGTCTCTTTCTCCCCTCCCTCCCTCACTCCCACTCTCTCTAAAAAAAAAAAAAAAAAAAAAAAAAAAAAATCNCATTGGCCCACACACCAAAGGGCCACAGGTTTGATTCCTGGCTTGCAGGTTTGTTCCCCAGCCTTGGCTGGGGTACGTGCAGGAGGCAACCAATCAATGTGTGTGTGTGTCTCTTTCTCCCCTCCCTCCCTCACTCCCACTCTCTCAAAAAAAAAAAAAAAAAAGCAATAAAAAATGTCCTCAGGTGAGGATTAAAAAAAGTTTTACTCCTATAGCAAACTTTTATAATTTAAGGACTCTATGCATTCACCACTCATACAATGATATGTTTGTTGAATTAGAAAGATAACATGCTGGTTTGCTCAGTGATTAGAGTGTTGGCCCTCAGACTGAAGGGTCCCAGGTTCAATTCCAGCCAAGGGTAAATACCTTGGTTGCAGGCTCCATCCCCACCCTAGTTGGGAGGCAACCAATTGATTACATTGATGTTTCTCTCTCTCCCTTCCACTCTTTGTGAAAAGCAATGGAAAAAATATCCTCAGTGAGGATTAAAAAAAAAGAAAATGAACAACCTGATTTTAAAATGGGCAAAAGATCTGAACAGACACCTCACCAAACAAAGTACACAGATAATAAATAATATGAAAGGATACTCCACATCATGTCATTGCGGAATTGCAAATTAAAATGATGATATACAAATATACAACCATCATAATGGTGAAAATCTAAAAACACTGACAACAAATGCTGACAGAGAGGTGGAGCAACAGGAACTCTCAGTCATTGCTGATGGGAATGCAACACTGAACAGCTTTCCCTGTTACTCTCCTCCAAGCCCCAGACCCCTCTGAACCTAAGAATGAATACAGGAGGGACTGTTAACTCTAAGGGATTATCCAGAGTATAAATGGTGTTCTTTCTGAGAACAAGTGATCATTCCTAAGAAGAGATTCCTGGCCCTTGAGGAGAGAATCAAGAGATTAAGATTTATTTCAGAGTGATAGTACTTCCTGAGATGTCTGCTCTGGGCTCTCCTCTTTCTGATGGTGAGGGCTGATCTGAGTGGTCAAGATGGTGGTAGAATGGAGCCCTGGCAGGCTGTACAGAGACCTGAAGGGGAATAATGGTTAATGAATCAGCTGGGAGCCCTGACTCCTAAATCCTGTTCCACAACTGCATGAACAAGAATTTGCTTTGTTTCTGGAGCTTTCATATTTAGAGAACCTTGTTGTATCTGAACTAGGAACCAGGAAACCTCAATTTCCCCCCGGCATCTTCTCCAATACATCTTAAGGCAATTACTTCCTACCCTTTGCCTTATACTTTATACCCAATATCTAAAGTGGGACTGATTATCTCTGGTCTTCACCACTCCTGGGGAGTAGGACAGATGTAAGATGAGCTTTGAAGTTGAAAGTTTTACCAGGTTGGCAGCTTTGTAAAAATGAAGTGCCATTTCCCAAACCCATTTGCAATGTACCCTTTTGCCATGAAACATTTCAGATGTTGAAAGCTATTGAGACTGTTCTTGCTAAAACACTTGGATCCTATACTAAATATTGAAGATGCCAAACAACTGCTTTTATTGATCTTGGAGAAGTAAATTCTTCTGCTGGGCTCTTGCCAGAGAGAAGTCTCCAAGTCATCTCCTAGGAGAATGCACGGGTCCTAGTTCTACTTTACCCACAATATCTAGCCATGTGATATGAAGCTTCAACTTTCTAATCTGTGTAATGGTGATGCCTGTCCCACAACCCAAGAGGTTGAGTGATATGGAGGAAAGGGCATTTAAATATGAGTCTGATGTGAGGTCTGTTTTTTTTCTCTTAAGACAGTTATTCTCTCAGTTTCCTATAACAGTAAAAGAATTAACTCAGTCAGTGTTTCCTGAACATGTGTTCCACAAAACAATCCAAGAGATAGTAAATGTGACTTCCACATGTACCACCACAAGAGCCCCCGCAGTCAAATAAGTTTGGCAATCATTGTATGGTTATTTATACTTCTCTACTTTGATCCTGAATTTCATGATATACATTCATACATAAATGCTCTGAGACGTCCTCCTATAACAAAACATTGACTTTAACCCATTGTCCCCAAATTTACTTGAGTGCAGAATACTTTTTTCATGGAATATCTCTGCACATCTCAGTGTTCTCTGAGTACCAGTCTGGGACCCACTGATAGAGCCAATTTATAATGCCAATTCCAGATCCTTCTATATGCCTCAGTGTCAAGAGAATCAGTAGGAAGAGAGGTGCCAAATGCTCACAAGACCCCTAGGACTGTATGCACATTCAGGCCCTTGCTACTGGCAAGTGCTGAAGAGCAGACATTGTGGGGCTGGGTGCTAGGAGGAGAGGCAACCTAAATGGAGATGTTTTTCCTAGGGTGTACGAAGAATCCCGTCCTCCTATTCCAGAGTGAAGCTTCCTGAGCTCTGGGCTTGAAAATTCATGCAGACAGAATGATAGCTTTAGACATCCATATGTCCCCAACATAAAAATTATTGGTGTGCTCCTTTAAAGGACCTACATGCTCTTCTCTTGCATCTCTCCTGGTAAAGAGCAAGAGCAGGGACTCATGGCCATCACATGCCTGTCAAGCACTCTATATCTGAAGAAGGAAAATCAATGAGCCAGGGGATGATTTGGGTAACCAAAACTAATGTCTAGGTGGCTGTGGAGGTTTTCCTGTTTGATATATTTTCATTCTTATATTTATTACATATTATGACTTGTCAGTCTTGTGCTTGACTCTGAAGAGTCAAGGCTGCACCAGACAGACACAGCCCCTGCCGTCCTGCTGCTTACATTCTAATGAGGAAAGACAGGCAAAAACAAGTGAACAAACCAAATAACTCTAATTTGTGATACATGCTATGAAGGGAATAAACACAGTGCTCAGAGTGGTAAGAGCAGATCTGACTGGTACATGAGTGAAGGTCAAGGGAAGAAGGAGCCCTTGGGCAAGTTTGTATTCTAAAATGTGGGAGCTTTGCAGAGACCAAAGATAATATTGTAGGAGTGCCTTTTTTTTTTAAATCCTCACACGGTATTTTTTCCATCCATTGATTTTTAGAGAGAATGGAAGGGAGGAAAGGAGAGAGAGGGAGAGGAAGAGATCAATGTAAGACACATGGATTGACTGCCTCCTGCAGGGCCGGGTGTTGAGCCTGCAACCCAGGTACATGCCCTAGACCGGAAATCGAACCCGTGACCCTTTGGTGCAGAGACCGACACTCTAACCTCTGAGCCACACCAGCCAGGACCTTTTTGTTTTGTTTTTTAATCCTCACCTGAGGATATGTTTTTATTGATTTTAGAGAGAGGAAGGGGGTGGGGAGAGAAGCATCAACTGGTCGCTTCCTATTCATATCCTGACTGGGGATTGAACCCGCAACCTGGGTATGTGCGCTGATTGGGAAGAGAACCCTCGACCCTTCAGTGCGTGGGATAACACTCTAACAAACTGAGCCACATGAGCCAAGGCTGTAGGAGTACCTCTTAACTCCAAGTAGATTGGAAATGTGAGCTTTTCCTTTTAGAAGGATAAATAGCTTTAGTGCTGGGTAATGCTTACTCACATAGTTAAAGGAGAAAAAAACATTTTTAAAAACCACTTTCCTAACTCCTCTGTGTAAGAAACTATTACTTCTTAAGCTACTAACTTTTCAAATTTAGGATTTCCCAAAGTTAAAAAAATACTTAATTATACTTTCCTCATGAACATTAAAGATTCACTTTTTTCCCCCTAAATGCTTTGAGACTGTTCAGTTGTTTTACAAATCATGGACAAAATGTTTAGTGCGAAACATTATGATGTTGGAAATATAGGGTATCCTAAAAAATGTATACATACACTTTGATTAATTATAAAGGCAGTGTTTATTAAAATACATTTCATTTTCATTGAACAGCTATCAGCTGTTAAATGTGTATACATTTGAAGGGGGGGCACCCTATATATCCATTGGTTTAAAAACATTCAACAGTAAGCTTTCTTACTTTTTCCTTAAAGGTGCAGTGTATCCAAATACTATAAAGCTTAATCTTTTGTTAGTGCTAAGATTGGTACAATATTCATCATCCTACTGTGGTAGAAATGAGAAGTGATTCTGATAGTTTTCCTAAATCTGAAAACTCAACGCAAGGCAAGAGCTTGCTTACTTAATTCCTCTCACAAGAGGTAGATGGAGAAACTGCTTTATGTGAAGTACAGGAATTATTAGATATGGTGTATCATACAGGAGGAAAGCACTTCAGTGTGGCCCAGTATCATTGCCCATTGCACAGTTCACACAAGAAGGAAACTGTATACATAAAGCAAGGTTGGTACATGCTTCAAGTGGTGCTTAGGGCTTGCTCCCCACTGAACCCACACAAGAAAGAAACTATAAAAGTGACAAGTGTGGAAAAGATTCAATAACAATATGCTTGCGTACTTGCTTGGGAAGAACCCTAGAACTACAGTGTGGGTAAAGCTTCAACATTTCCTACTTGAGGATACTTCAGAGACTCTATACCAAAGAGAACCCACAGAAAGAATGTGAGAACGTCCTCAAATAATCCACTCTTAAGTACTAGAGGGAAAGCTCCCAAGAGAAGTTAACAGGTAGCTTTAATCCACTACATGAGAATAGAAACTGCAGGTGCTCAGTAAGTACTTGTAAGTAGAGTGACTCAGTGAATGCTTAAAAAATCTTTTATGGAGTTAAAATCTTTTGTTATTCCAACTGTCCAGTTGGATGGAAAAGACTGCTTAGCATCCTTCCTCTCAAGCTCTCCAGAGGAATCAAAACTGTTCTCATTGTTCCAAAAACTGATGAAACCCCAGCAGTCTTAGTTTTAGTTTGATTCTAAGTTCTCCTTCTGTCGTTCCCCTCCAGTTAAAAGATAGCTGAGGTTCTCATCATCAGCTTGAAGTTCCAGAGCCCACTTAATGGCAGGGAGAACTCTGGGCCTGGAATGTGCCCAGCACTTTGGCCACTTAGATCAGGGCAGAGAAGGGGCTGAGGATTGGGGGCTAGCCTGGGTGAATGATGCAGTGCTCAGAACCAACCGTGGAGTCACTGTAAGACTGTTATCTGAACAAACTAAAATAAAGCACCTTCCGGTTTGTCCTAGAAATCATCTGGGTATGGAGGACATATTTGTAAAAACTTTAATACTAATATTGGAGACTGAACATAGGGTTGTGTCTCAGATTTCATTTTTGAAAGAAGCCTCAATAGATTTTATTTATTGATTCATTTTAGGAGGAGAGAGAGAGAGAAAGAGATCGGTTTGTTGTTCCACTTATTCATACATCCATTGGTTGTTTCCTGTATGTGCCCTGACCGGGGATCAAACCCATAACCTTGGCATATCAAGACGATGCTCTAACCAACTGAGCTACCCAGCCAGGGCAATATATTTTTATTTTTAGGTGGGTTTTTTTTAGTTATCTGCTCTTATCCCTATGATGAAGCTATAGAAATTCCTTCTAACAATTTCTACATATCCACCCCAAATTCCAAGCACAAGGAGTTTTGAGGCATTGTGCTGCCAGTTATTGGCCAAGCTAAGACGTTCCCATAGGAGGCTTCTCATTCCCCAACTGAAGTTCCTACCCCTGCTTTCCTACTCAAGCTTCTGCCCAACTGTCATCTCTTAGCCCAGGAAGAGCAGCCACCTCCTTTATAAACCAAAATGGGTGTAGAATTTGTTTCTGCCATATGTCCCATTTTTTGAGGCAAAACTCACAGAAGGTTCCACAGGGGTAGTTACCAAACCATTCCTTGAAATCTACTGTACTAATATGAGGAATGAAAGGCAACCTCTACCCTCTCCCTACCTCCCTGATCAATAGAAACACATTTTGTGCACATGGGGCAGTGGTGTACAAGGGAACAAAGAACAAGGAAAGAAGAATATGGCCGGAGGGAGAAGGCTGCCTTGTCCACTTAAAACAATTGACCTCCCAGGATATATGCCCTGATGAGCAATGACTCTTTCTTTAATATCATCTACAGTCCTTTTTATTGTTGTTTTATTTATTTATTTTTATCTTTCTTTTCACCTACCGTCTTGTATGTTCCTAAGTGTTCCTATCAGTGTTACATTAGTTTAGTGGAACATCCATCTAGAGGAAGCTAGATTTTTCCTAAGGGCCAAAGGCCAAGTAGAATGAAAATAAAAAAGTTTCGAAGCTCCAGTAGAAGAGCCACCTCTATTAAAACAGGCCAAGTTATACTGTAGAAACACATAGCACACACCTCAGTGTTAAGCACAAACATTTATTTCTTGTTTCCACAAAGTCCATGATAGGTCTGGAGGATTCATCAGAATAGCTGACTTGCCATGTAAGGGACTCAGCATTCTAAACCTGGTTTGACTCATGGCTCCGCTCTCTCTATGTGCTTTCATGATTGAGGCAAGAAAGGAAAGCACTACAGAGTCTTACACCAACAAATAAATGCTTCATCCTAGAAGTGAGGCTTCTGCTCACAACCCACTGAACAAAATGACCTGATGACTCTAACTACAAGGAGCAGAAAAGCATAACCATTCTCCTTTTTACTGTTCACTATAATACAAGCTCCATGAAGGTATGCATTTTTTTCTCTTGTTCACTATTATATCCTTGGTCTAGAACAGTGTGTGGGTTCATAATAGGGCATGATTAAGTGAATGAGTGAACGTACTGCCAACAAGAAATCCACATGTATCTTGGGAGGAGACAGAGTCCCAGGGGTCTAAGGCTGAGGGTGTTGGGTAAGAGGTACTCAGACTAGAGCTTCAGAGCTAACTGTGCCAAAGAAAAAACACTTGGTATAGTCAACCTGGGGAATAAAATAACTCCCATTGAAGGAACCAGACCACAGCTCAGGTGACTGATGCCAAATCAATTCATAATAACCACCACCACCAGTGCTCAACTCCTGAAAGAAGCTGCAAAAGCCACAAATGGATCTGCTCCTTAAATGTAGTCAGCCCACCCAACATATCCGGGGAACAGGAGAAACGGAAAGAGACACACATTGAGCATCTCCTGTTGGCCAGGCTGGCAGGTGCGTTTCTTTCATCAATTCCTATAATCCCCAGATCAACACTGAGGTGAGTGCTGTTCTGTAGAGAAAGTGGAGACTGGCCAGTGCCTGAGGGGAGGGGGAGGGGGGTGACTAGATAAAGAAGGTGAAGAGATTAGCTAAAGAACATATATGCATATCCCCTGGACACGGACAATAGTTTGCTGAAGGCCAAGGGGTGGGCAGGCAGGGGTGGGTGGAGGTGGACAAAGGGTGGGGAAAAGAGGGCACCTGAAATTATGTCAACATTAAAATTCTTTTAGAGAGAAAATGGAGACATAAGAGTGTTTCAGTAACCAATCAAGAAACAGGAATGTTTCATAAACTGAAAACAGATACAATACGTCATCTAGGCTGGCTCTGCAGAGATAACCTACAAAGTCCTGATAATCCTGCCTTCAGGCCTGACTAAAGCAGCTAAGTGACAACCAACAGACCTACTAGCTATGAGGTCTTGAACAAGTCCCTGTATCTCTTTGTGCCTTAACTTGCCCATTTATAAACTAGTAGATTTGGAAGAGATAATTTAACTCCTTTCCTGATACTACCTAAAAGCTCTAACAACACATCTAAGTCAAAGATAAAAACAGAGAAAGGGTGAGTTATAAGAATATCCACAGCCTATAGATTTTCAGCAGTCTATTAAACATCACCCAAGACTACTGCTAAATGCTGAAGACAACAGATACAGGTAGACCCTGCCTAACAGTTTACAGTGTAAGACAACCAATATGGATGTGGATTAACTCACCTTTGCGAACTACTCCAAATCAGTTCCCAAAACTGTCCTTTTAGAAACCTGGTCTCCCGCGTAATGGATTTCCTGGTCACCATACACAGTAAACCACAGGATCCTGCCTGCAGTACTTGCTCCAGTTCCCAGACACATAAATCTCTTCTGATTCTCAGTAGCAAAAGCCAAATGAAAAAGAAAACAAACAAAATCCTGAGAAATTTCCCCTGGACTCCTATTAAGTTTCTTTTACGCCTCAAGAAAGTACTAATTTTTATGGCTATTTTATCCTATCGACACTGTGAGGAAAGGAAACAGTCTAGTTTCTTTTATTGCAGAAAATCCTTCTTTACATCTAATATATTATTCCATGGCTAAAAATTCCAACCCGTTTACATATAATCTCATTAGAAATGTTTTCCTTTTTTCAAACACAACCAATGAGAGGCATAAGATAGTGCATTATTAGTTATCTGGCAGATTCCCTAGTGGTGAGGTAAATATGATTTCATCAAAGTAAAATTGGTGCTAATATAAGAGCTAAGGTTGCTAAAAAGTTCAAGAAAAAACTCACAATGTCCAATGATGAGAGGAAGAAAATACAATTAGGTTCTTAGAAAACTTTACATTAGAATTCATTTCTTCCCCATGAGACTACTGAAATTATTAAGCCTGCTACCTTGAAGACAATGGTATGCAATTAAACAAGCATATTAGTGCTTTTTGCTTTGGAAGACCATGCTACAAATATTTTTCATAATTTCTCTCATGTGTTTAAGAGTGGCTGGGGAGATCAATGAAAAACCAACACTATTTACCTCTGTGACCTCAAAAGACTGATTGGATTTATGGCTTCATCTGCTATTTGAAGCTGAATTTGATATTTCTGCAGATACAATCCCAAAACAACTTTTTCCATTTTTAGAATGTTCCTAGAACACTAATCTTGCTATGGAATTCCCTATAGGTTATAAGTAAAAACAGTAAGTAGTACAACTTTAATGCATTCCGTGCAGAGTCAAACCTGATTTCTTTCTATGCAATATTACACTGATGAAAACCTCATGTTTCATAATTTTGTATTTTTTCATAAACTTTAGCATCAAGCTCTGCTTGATGAATTTGTTCAGACTGAAGACACTGGACAAGCTTCCCTTCACTGGTGGAGTTTCTGGTGCCTAAGGAGGCTGGACCGCCGGCTAAAGTTTCTTCTGCATATGTTACAGGAATAAGGCTGCTCACCTGTGTGGGTTCTCCGATGTTTAATAAGGTGGGAGTTCTGACTGAACTTTTTCCCACATTCATGACAAGTAAAGGGCTTCTCTCCAGTGTGAGTTCTTTGGTGTGTGTGGAGATTTGTATTTTGACTGAAGCTTTTCCCACACCATGAGCATTTATATGGTTTTATACCTTGGTGTGTTGTTAAGTGCTTATTAAGGTCTGAACTCCATCTAAACCTCTTATCACACTGTGGGCATTTATATGGTTTCTCTTCAGTGTGAATTCTTTGGTGCTTAATAAGGTCAGAGCTAACTCTGAAGCTTTTCCCACACTGCTGGCATTTAAAAGGTTTCTCTCCTACACGTTCTTTCTTGTGGCGATCCATAAGTTTAAGTAGCTCTTGTTTCCAGGTTGAAAGTTTCTTTCTTTTCTTCACTGGAAAATCTTGATGCCATTTCCCCACCCTGTGCATATCACCATGATTTTCTTTGACTGTTGGTTTCTGGGGAACTTTCACTCTGGCCTTTTTTGATATTACATCTCCAGCTGCTTGTACTTCTAAGTCAGAAAGACATAAAGGCTGATGATTTTCAGCGTCATTTTTGAGCTTTAATCCTGTTGGAATTAATGTGACAATCAACCAAGTGGCAGAGCAAGAAAACCACAGGAATGGAGGGGGGGGGGAATCAAAGATCACTGATTTGTAATAAACAGGTAAGTAGAATCTTAGAATGTTAAGTCCTTGCAAAAGTTCCTATTAAGGCACATTTCTTCTCTTCCCAGAGTGTATTTACCTATAGGCAGCTCTCCAGGACTGTCTGTGACCTCTGTGGATCCTTGAACCCATGGCTCTTTCCCTTGTTCTAGACAGGAGATCACTTTAGGTTTGGGGAGCACAAATATGGCTGTGAAATGAAAAAACTGAGGTCAAGAACCGGTAACTTAACAATGGTTCACTAATTCCAGACTATTTCAGTAAGAGTAAAGAATACTTATAGTTTGTTACTCCTAAATGGTTAAATGATTAGATTCTCATATCAGGTATCAGTTTTATACTACACTGCATTTGTAGCTTAACATGCAAAGTGGAGATTAGCTTGACTGATGGAAAGGAATAGGTCATGGGAATCTTGTGCATGTTCCCCCACTTCTGCCACCAATAACTGTACACTTGACCAAGTTGGAATAAAACTCCAGAAGGTGTACAGTCATATTAACTCTTTAGGACTCAGCTGAATAAGACCAGGCCTAGGGGAGCCAATATGAAGGTCAATGGGTTGGGAATCATATGCACAAGTGATTCCTGTCATAATTATAATCTTTTATTTTGCTCTTGAGCACAAGAAACTGAACTATGGAAGATTTCTACCACTCCTATAGCTCACTGGTTCATATCCTGCTGGACCATACAGATAAGCATCATTTAGCGGACTTTTTCTAAATACAAATTTCCAAGTATGGGAAGTATTCATCATTCAATCTCTCAACAAATATGCATTAACTGGCTATAGCATGCCAAACACTTTCCATGAAATAGGAATACAGTGGTGAATAAGTCAAAGTCCCCTGATCTCATAGAACTTATCTTCTAGTGGGAGACTAAGACAATCAAGCATCAACAAACAGACAAACAAAATATCAAGAGGTGATAAATGGTGTTTGTTTTTTTAAACCCTCACCTGAGGATATTTTTCAATTGTTTTTAGATAGAAAGGGGGGACGGGAAGAGAGAGAGATGTGAGACGCATTTGGCACACCCTCCGACCCTTCAGTGCATGGGCAGACACTTTAACCACTGAGAAACCCTGGTCAGGGCAAGAAGTGATACATGTTTTTTAAAAAAAACTGAAGCAAGGTAAGAATCTGTGAAGTTATTTGAGATATGGCTGTGTGGAAGACTTCTTTGAGAAAATGATATTTGAGCAGAACAAAAGGTATAAGTTTTGCCACATGGCAGAAAATTGTGCCAGACAGAGGAAAGGAGAAAGCAGTATTGATCATGGTAAGTTCAAAAAAAGGAAAAGCCCTGGCCAGGTAGCTCAGTTGGTTAGAACGTTGTCCCAATATGCCAAGGTTGCAGGTTTGATCTCCAGTCAGGGCACATACAAGAATCAACCAATGAATGCAGAAATAAGTGGAATAACAAATCATTCTCTCTCTCTCAAATCAATAGTTAAAAAAAACAAATGAAACAAAACAAAAAAAGAAACAGCAAGAAGACCAGTGTGGCCAAAGAGAACTGAACAAGGGCAAAAGTTGTAGGAGATGAAGGCAGAAAAAGGAGGACACACCAGATTTGGAAGGGTCCTAAGAACCTTGGTAAGGAAAATTTTGATTTTATTCTGAATGTGGTGAAAGTCATCATAAGATTTTGAAACACCAAAATGTCATAATCTGATCAGGTTTTAAAGACTCTTGCTGTTGCATAGAAAACAGACTAGGAGAGGGCAAGAATGTTGGCAGCAGGAACCAGTTAAAAAACTACTAAGGTGGGCCTGGTTTGAGATGATACTGGCATAGACCAGGATGCTAACAAGTCAAGAGCATCAGACATAGTAGGACTCAGGCTATACTGTGACGATGGAACCAAGAGAATAGTGATGCTTTAGTAGTGGGGTATGATGACAAGATAATGGGAAAGAATGACTAAGGGTCTTGCTCTGAGCTACTGAGTAAATTATCTTTACTGAGATGAGCAAGATATGAGAAGACAAGGTGTGAGGAAAAGAGAGCCACAATTCTATGTAGAATAAGGAATGTGTACTTGGAAAAAGATCCCAGGTGATCTGGATACACACCTTTCCTCTGCAAACACCATCAAGTTGAGAATCAACCAGCTACTGGAACAGACTCTCCAACAGGGAAGTATTCACAGTAAGATGAGAACATGACAGATTACTCAACTACTCAACTTCTATTCAAAGGGAAGGAGAATATTTACCTAGAGAGGTGATAGTCTCATAATTTTCCTGCATTACATCATAATACAGGGCCTTCTGACCCGGATCCAGTAACTCCCATTCTTCTTGGGAAAAAAACATGGCCACTTCTTCAAATATCAGTAAGCTCTAAAGAAGAGAATGGGCTTCAGCTCAGCACCTGCCACTCCAGAAGCAGCCCTAACATCTGAACCATGAAATTAATAGTAGGCCAAGCACTAAAGGAATTAATAGCACATGATTTATTTTAAAGTAAGAAGGAAAAAAGGAAAGAAGGGATCAGCAAACAGTATGGGAGGTGTCCAGTTCCCCAGGGAGAACATATGGGCTAACATGCCTCTGAGCACCTGCTGGGCAGCAGAAAAAGCAGCCCTAAACAGCTTGAAAGCACAGCTCACCTGGGACTCAGGCAAGATGAGCTCAGGTGCCACTATCCAGTCTTTGGTGTTTGTCTGCTCAGGAAAGTCTAGGATCTGGTGAGCAGGCACAGCTGTGGATGGAAAAGAGCCATAGGAAATTTCTCTTGCTTCTATGAATATCCTGAGCACATTTCTAAAATATACAAGATCCTTATTCTTTCAGTAGAGATGGGACTCCTTTACAATTGTTATGTGGTACCCAGAAGTGGCTATCAGCCCCTACAACCAGTTCCCAAATTGACTGTCAGTTTTCATGACTAAAGTCAATAAAAGGAAGTCTCATTTTTTTCCTTATGTTACATAACATATTCTGAATTGGGCAAAAATTAGAGGTGTTTAAAAAAGTAGGAGAGAGTCCAGTGTGTCAGGTAAAGGAAGTAGGAAGGTAAAAATGAGCATAGCAAGTTCAAGAAACAGCAAGAAAACCAGTGCGGCTAAAGTGGATAGAACTAGGGTACAAGTGGCAGGGAGGTAAGTAGGGGCCAGATCTTGGAGGGGCCTACACACCTCATAAGTTTAGATTTTATTCTGAATGTGAAAAGTTATTATAAGATTTTGAAGCAGATTACTGTCATGATCTCATCATGTTTTTTAAAGACTCTAACTGCTTTGTGGAAAACAGACTGTAGGAAGGTAAGAGTGGTGGCAGGGCACCAGTTACAAAGCTGGTTAGAGAAGCCACTGGCTTAGACCAGAACACTAACAAGAGAATGAGACATGGTTGGACTCAGGCTATGATGTAAAGATGGAGCCAAGAGGACTAGAGACACATTAGTGGTGGGGTATGATGGCAAGATCAGACTAAAGGATGACCCAGGTATTCTGGCCTGAAATACTGGGTAAATGGTGGTACCATTTATGAAAACAGAAAGATAAAAGAGTGGATTTGTAGGGGAGAGTGGAGAGTAGGGAAGAGTGGAGAGTTTTAGGATAAAGAATGAACATATGCACTTTGTAAAAGCTCGATCTGGATATACCTTTCTTGCGCACATCAAGTTGAGAACCAACTAGCTACTGGAAAAGAGTATTTCACCAGGGTGTATTCCCAGTAAGCTATGAATATTACATTATTCAACTTCTACACAAAGGTAAGAAAGAATCTTTACCTAGAGAGATGGCAGTCTCATAGTTTTCCTGCATTACATCATTGTAGAGGGCCTTCTGACTGACATCCAGTAACTCCCATTCTTCCTGGGAAAAATACACAGCCACTTCTTCAAATGTCAACAAGCTCTAAAGAAGAGAATGGGCTTCAGCTCAGTACCTGCCATTCCAGAAACAGCCCTAACATCCAGCCCTCAAACTGCATGGTAAGACAGGCACTGAAGGAATTAACAGCACATGCTTAATTTTTTTAAGTGAGAAGGAAGAAAGGAAAGAGGCAAGAGATCAGCAAACAGCCTGGGAGGTGTCCAGTTCCCCAGGGAGAACATCTGGGCTAACATGCCTCTGAGCACCTGTTGGGCAGTGTGGGTCATGGGCAGCAGGGAAAGGCAGACCTAAACAGCTCAAAAGTAAAGCTCACCTGGGACTCAGGCAAGATGAGCTCAGGTGTCACTGTCCAGTCTTTGGTGTTTGTCTGCTCAGGAAAGTCTATTATCTGGTGAGCAGGCACAGCTGTGGATGGAAAAGGGCCACAGGAAATTTCTTTTACTTCTGTGCACATCCTGAGTTCATTTCTAAAATAAAGGAAATCTTGATTCTTTCAGTAGATGGGAAACCTTTATCAGTGTGAAGTAGCTTTATCATTGTTAATTAAAACCAAGTATCTATCAACCCCCAGAACAGGTTGCCCACTTTTCATGAGTAAAATTAATAAAACAAAAACCTTTCTTATTTCCCTCTCATGACATAAATAGTTCCGAGGTAAGAAAAATTTAACAGAATTGACAATGAAATACTCATGGACTCCAGTATACAGCAGGAGATGTATTATTTATCATTTATTATTTTTCTTCCTGGTATACAATTGTGTTCATGTACTGCCACTGACAGCCCATTTGTGATCCCAATTCCTTCTATGTTTTGAGGAAGGGGTGGCCCAATCCTCTCCAATTTTCTAAGGAAGTGTTCATGTTATTACCAGGGTCCACAGGTTGGATATTTCTGTATGTTACAGCAACCCCCACCTTCACCACAGCCGGTCTATTCTAAGGCCATCTGTCAGGGGTGGGTAATCATAATTGCTAACATGACTCATTTGCACATCCACAGAACTGGGAACCCAGAAAATGCTCACAATGTTCTATCTGGATAAATTACTATCAGAGCTCCCAACAGAAAGAAATTATCATGAAACTCCTTACCCCTCTCACACACAGGCTCAGTTTCTTTATGAGTATTCCTGCTCAGCTGTTGTTGTAGATCCTGATATTCATTCCAAAATTCTTCATCCTGGGACCTGCCCACTGGCTGGGATTCTGCTGACTTCAGTTTGAAGCCTGGGGTCTCTGCTGTTTCTCCCAAGGGCACTGCCTCCTTTCCCAGCACATGGACTGCAACCTAGAAATAATTCCCATCCTTGTTACAAGAACTTACTTTAGGCTTGGGGGCTGGTGGTAGAGGGAGAAAAAAGCAGAGAGTCCAGGTTGCAGGAAGTGTGAGACACTAATGACAAAAAGACTTAAAGAGATAATGAATGGGCCACCAATTTTCCACAAAGAACTATCCACAAAACCTCGGAATTTTAGTATAAAAGGAAAAAAGATGTGGCTACCGCCAGCCTTCCAACACTGCACTTCCGACCCCTTTGCATACAGCCCAGCTCAGACCAGTAGCATGGTTGTGCAGGCCACCTCTTCTCATGCTGTCTTGACAGCATCTCTCTTCACTTTAAATCCCTGCTGCAGTGATTTCTTGTCTTATACTTTTCTCAAAAGATTAAAAAATTTAACTGACCTCTCAACCAGATTTTCTCCATGGTCAGGGAAAGTTTAACAGAAAATATGGATAAAATGAAGAAAGAGGAAGGAATGATTCTGGCTCCAACTTCCCTCCAGATCATTTTGACACCAAACATATGCCCTGCCCTGTATTTTTGACAGTAGGCCTGAAGCCAGTTGATATGCTGCCACCTGCCCTGGATTCCACCTCATCAGCAGAGCCAAGGACCAACCACTAACGAAGGGCAGTGGAGGCTCTTGTCTGTGGTACGAAGGACACTATCTCTCAGTGTGTCTTCCTTCTCTGGGCCACCCAGTTGGGATTTCCAAATCTCTCTTCCCCTTTTTTTATTTCTCATTTTTCTGCAGTCTTCCCTACTAATTTTTTCATTTCTCCCTTTTCATCTCTATATGTTCTCCCTTTTTTGGATCTGCCCCTTCTTCTCTAACTCCTGGATGCCCTTTGTTTTTTAGAACTTAAGACCCATCTCCTAGACCAAGCCAGACTATGTTTATTACTCTCAGTACATTCTGGCTCCAAAGAGGGAAAAATGCAACTCTTTCTCTATGGCCAGGGAAGTCTCTGCCTGAATCTCCAAAACCTGTGGAATGACTATTGCTGCGGGTCTGTGGTTTCAGGTCATGCCTTAGATGACCTAAAGCAACAACAGATCATTGATTCAATTCATCTTATTTCTCAATTAACTGCCCCCAACCTCATATATCCACTTTCATTCTATGTATGAGGAATCTTTCTTCTCACCCCATTCTTCATTTGATCAGATTCACTCTGCAAGTGGTCTACCAAGGCCACAGCCTCTTCAGTGCTCTGTAGGTGGTGCTTCTTTATCTGGGTTTGGGTGTCCCTGGGCAGAATGGTCAGAAACTGCTCTAGCACCAGCAGATCCAAGATCTGTTCTTTTGAATGTATGTCTGGTCTCAGCCATTGACGGCATAATTCCTGAAGTTGGCCAACAACCACACGGGGTCCAGCTGCTTCATGATAGTGGAAGCTCCGGAAGTGTTGGCGAGAGGTCTCAGGACTGAGATTGTCCATTTGTGCAGCACATATCTTACTCTGAGTGGAGCTCTCTGTCACAGGTTCCTTGGTTTCCCACAGAGCCCTGATTTGAGGGTTCAAATACTCAGCCACCTTCAGATCTACCATCATCATTCTCTCCAGAACAGTTGCTCCTGTGTTGGGCACACCACCAGTACCACCTCTGACAACTGAGGCCCAATCTGGTCTGGAATAAAATCAATAAAACGATCTTCTTCCTAAGGCGCTGAGAGCAGAAAAAAAGTGCAAGTCAATAAGAAAGTCACATGAACATTACTACTTGCTACTTATTCTGAGAGAAAAATGAAAACATCCTGCCTTGCCTTCCCTTTAAAGTCAACTGCCAGGCAGGTGCTCTGTTCTCTCCTTTTCTTTGTATTACTCAGTTGATCTATAGCACAGCTCAGTAAAGACAAATGTCAATTCATGACTTTGCCTTTACAAGAAAATAAATCGGGGAAGGCGGGTGGGTGAGGGAATTGGCACCCACCGGCTCCAAAGAGTTTGAGGATTATCCAAAGAGTTCATTGATGTGCTTCCTATCTCATCTCCCCATGTCAAAGATTAGAAACATCTGAGCTTTTCTTACATTTTAACTATTACCCTAGTCTTCTGCTTTTAGTATGAGGGTACAACTTCTATGACCCTGCATCCTCCTGTGATGATGGAAGCCTTCACTTCGTGGAACATTTGAGGTTCTCCTTTACTCGTGGGAATACTGGCAGGAGAGCTGAGACAGTGAGACCAGAGTAGAAAGAAAGCAATTAGGGGGAAAGTAGACTTTTCTTCTCAGAAAGCATCCCCCAATTAAGTAACAAGATGCTCAACATTCTTTTTCGGCACTTCTTTGCAAAGCGTATGAAGGGCACTGTGCAGATTTATACCTGTATTTTGAAGTTTCTGTTCGCTTCAGCTAGGAAAAATTACAGCCGACCTTTCTTTACAAAATGTTTGTCCAAGTACCAAGTCATAAAGACGGAGAGAATGGCAGCTGGTGATGATTAAGGTGACCCTTCTGCTGACTTTACGTTTCAAGGGTCTTTCAGACTTCCGAGTAAGGCTACGGAGAGCCTCGTGAGCCTCTCCGCCCCCGAGATGATGCAGCAGAACCGGCACGGAGATTCTGTGCAGGATGCCACGGCATTCACAAATGGTCGGCTCCTCGCTGCCCACCCCGGCTCAGGAGGCCCGAGGGCTTCTGCATCAGGAGAAAGTGCTCTCTCTGACGCTGAACTGCGGCTTTCTGGCGATTAACATCAGCAGCAACCTCCCACACACCCACAAACCCCCCCACAACACACCGGCAGAGACGGGAAGTGGACTTTTCTGGAGGGCAGTCGGGCTTCGTGAGCACGGTGCAAGCGGGCAGTGTGGCAGCGTGCCCCGCCGCGGGCCCGGGAGCTACCTGCGCAAAGGGCAGAAAGAGTGACCTCCGGGGACTGACGGCCAGTCTAATCCCAGACTGTCTGGCCCCAAGATCCAACCGTTTGGCCACGAAAAAGGGCGTCTCGCCTCCCACCTCCCTGGAGCGGCCCAGAGCAGCGGCCGGCAGGTCTCCGGAGCCCCGCAGCCGGGGAACCGCTTCTTGGTTACCTTGGAGAGCTCGGTTTCGGAGAGGCCGCTCCCTCTTCCTACTGCTCAACCGCAAACCGCCGCCGCGCTACACCCGGGGGCCGCGAGGTCGGAGGTGGGCGATTAGCGTACGGTCGGCACGCAGTCCTACAGACCCCTCTCCCACGAGGCCCGTACGGCGTGGGGTTCTACCCGCGCCCCGCCCCCGCGCTGCTACCGGAAGCGAAAGTTGAGCGCTTCCGGCCAGGCCGAGCGCAGCCGCTCAGCTCCCAGAGCGCCGAGGCTCGGGGAAGCGCTGGGAGAATCGGCCTGCGCCCCCACTTTAGCCAGGCTGCGGGGAACTAATGCCACCGAGTCCCCAAGTCGCCGCGCCTAGAGTGGCCTCGTTGCGGCTTGGCAGTGGGTATCGCCCTCTCGCNATGACGGCCGGACTCGCCCTAGTCAGTCTGGCCCCAGGCTCTAGCTGCTCGGGCAGGAGAAATGGCGTCCCGCCTCCAACCACCTTGCAGAGGCCCTGAGCAGCGGCCGGCGGGTCTCCGGAGCTCCACAGCCGACGCCGAAGGGGAACAGATTCTTGGTTACCTCAGACAGCCGGGCATCGTGAGGGCGGCTCTTTCAACCTCTAGCTCAACCGCAAGTCACCGCACTTCCGGACGCAGCTGTAGGGCCGCAGCACTCCGCCTCTCGACCTCCAAAGAGGGACCAGAAAGCCAAGACGTGCGGATTCTAGGGCGCAGGCCCCAATAGCAGCGCTCCCACCGGAAGCGGAAGTGGAGCACTTCCTGGCTGGCTCCGTAGCCCACGGAGTCGGCGGGCGCTGCGGCTCCAGGCTTCGCGAAAGGAACCAGCCTCTAGTCCGGTTCAGCCCTGGCGTCCGGAAGAGTTAATGCCACAGAGTCTCCAGGTTGTGGAGCCTAGAAGGGCCCTGCGCACGGCTCGGCTCGTGGGTGTCGCCGTCTCGCGGCTCGGCTCTGGGAGACGTTAAGCGTCCGGTGGTTTCCTCGTCGCCTTCGGGCGGTCTGCGGCCTGGTAATCCGGAGCCGGGCCGGTTAAAGGTCGCCGCCCACTACTCCCGCGGGGTCCTTGTTTTTCCTGCTCCAGCTGGCCGTACCCGAGCTTTCGTCCCCGTGCTCATCGCTGCCTCAACGAGGAGGCCCATTTTTTTCGGTTCAGGATCAATGGCCCTGAGGAGTCTGTACCCTATTTTGGTCTGTGCATCTCACAACAATTTTTTTTTTCTTTTGAGGTATGTGAAATAGGTTACATTTATAGTTCTCCATGACAGAGAAATTGAGAGCTAAGAAGTGACTTGTCAGAGTCACATAAGTTATTATTGACAGCTCCAAGACTGTAATTTAGGTCCCCGGTTCTTTTTCATGACAGCATGCTTCCTGTTGAATGGGAACCTTTTCATCTTGTATTTCCTGCAGTATATGGCCGAATAACCTGAGTGAAATGGGCATTCCACATATATTTACTGAATCATATTTAAAGGAATCTGAGTATTTCATTTTGTTTGTGTTCTAATTATAGTGTTTTCATAGTATCAGCCTCTACCAGTCAAGGAATTATTTAAGTCTACTAGGTGTATCCATTGTGATAGAACAATGTCTGAATCAAGGAATCTGGCAGAAGGACTCAGGCAATTTCATGAATATCAGTATCACAGGGTAGGAAAAGGGAGGACATAAGCTGAACACTGCAGAATTTCCAAGGAAATGGAAGTTGATTTTTGGTTGGGGAAAATTATGAAAGACCTTGAGGGATTTGCCAGCAGATGGGAATTGGCAGAGGGTAAGGCAGCAATTTTCAGTCAGTGTGCTGCAAGAAATTTAAAACCTGAAATACCTGACTATTTAGGGACACTCTTTTCCCTTAGATTATCAAGTTAAAAAAATGACAACAGCCAACACAACAATAGCCATTAGGTGTGAATGAATCAAAAATCCCTTTTTTAATCAGATTAGCAAAAAATATGATACATTTTTTGGTGTGCCGCAGAATTTTAGTAATTAGTTTATGTGTGCTGTGAGATGGAAAAGGTTGAAAATCACTGGGATAAGGTAAAAGCATAGCCTTGAAAAGCAGGAGAGATTAGGAGTGTGAGATCTTTAGTATTTTTACTCAATGTAATTGGGCTACATTTAGGGAAAGAAAGTTAGAAAATGAGTTCATGTAGATTTATGTGCTTTGAATGGGAGTGAGGAGAATACATTTAATATAGCATATACCTGAGCATCATTTGAAGGTTTTTGAGGGAGCTTCTTTCCAGGGCAGTTCACCTGGAGGTAAGTTGAAGGTGGGAATGAAAATGAGAGACCATTAACTGGGCCAGTATGCTATTTTTGCTTTTAGATTGATCAGTGTTGCACTCCTCTGAAGCATAGATCTTGATCCTTTTTGAGTGAGAAAAGGATTAAACAGAGGCGATAATTATAGGCATCTGCCTAGGTCACTTGCATATGTTTCAAAGCATTTTCATTTCCTTAGAATCTGTCAGGTTGGACTTAGTTTCTTCAAAAGTCATGATTGTTTCCAGCCTCTCAGACCAGAGGACAGTGATGCTCTTAGCATTGAGATCATCAGCAGGCCCAAACCTGAGCAAATGATTGGAACTTATTGAATAAATGAAGTTCTGCCAGCAGTGCCTTTGGATGTCATTGGTAGGCCTAATTCATAGCATGGGTAGGGAGTTGGTTAGGAAAATGGGAGAAGAGATCCTGTGAAAGAAAAAAGAGGAATGAAACAAGGCACAAAATGGTGAATAGTGAATGAGGGCCACTGATGATTTTCATTGGTTGAAGTTTGATGCCACCGTTGCTTATTCTTGCTGTGGAGCCCATAAACGTTCCCCGAGTCTTTCCTTTTGATTCACCTTCTGCCTGAGCATGGTTTGAGAAAATGATGCACAGGGGGGAAGCAATGAAAGCAAATACATGGAGTTTATTTTGAGAGACCACACAGCTGCCCTGGCAGGTTGAGTGTTTTTGCTGGGTGACTGGTCAGAGTTAATAGTGCTACTATTGGCTGACAAATGTGTGTTTTTAGTATTGCCTTAGTTATAGCTGCCTCTTTTACAAGGTTGCTTGATCTTAGCCTGTCACTGCCTCCACATGCTATTAACCATGATATCCTTTCATTATCTCCTTTGTGCTCCGTAAACCAGTTGGCACTTGCAACAAATGTTAGAGAAAAACTAATGGTTAGGCTCTTCTGGGCTCCTAGAGAGGCTTTTGAGAATTCTATGTAGTTGAGGAATGACTGAAAGTCATTCAGGCTCTTCCCTCAAGGAGAGGGAAAATAACTGAAATACCAATCATTTTTCTAATTTCCCTGACATACCTTTTTTTCTTCATAGCACCTGGAATGGAAAAAAGTGGCAGTTTTTGTTACTTCCGATGAGGTTCTATATCTGGAATGAGAACCATGAAATTAATCTAGAGTAGGAGGACATTTCTAAGGAATAAATGGAATTTGGCAGCACCAGGAGGACCTGAATGGAATACTTGAGAGAGCTGAGCTAAAGAAGACTTTGCTAACAGAAGGATTTATGGGAAACAATTGATCAGAAACACCAGTAGAGAAACTTTTTAAATTTTTTTCAAGCAGTGGAAAAATTGAGTCTTGTTTCAAATTAAATAAAATCTACAATGAAGAGAAACCAAATAAAGACTCAAATATAAAATGTGTGTTACTTAAAATGCTAATGTAAATTTAGGAAAACAAACAAAAGGACAGATGTTTTTAAAATTTTTTTAAATGTTTTAATTATGGTAAAATATTTGTGAAACTGTTTCACTTACCTCAAAGAATTGCCATGATTCTGAAACTTGCTAATAATACCCCACATATGGAACAGTTTCATTGAAAAATAATACTTGAGAATACATCAGATGCACACAAGGAAAATCTGAGAGTGGAAGAGTGCCAATAACAAATAAATTATTTATCTACTTACAGATGACCTTAAAGATCAGTCTTTGAGAATGCTATATTGAATGTAATAAAAGTTAGATTTCAGTCATATGAACAGTAGAAACTACTGACTTTCTTCTTCATTGAAAGATGTTTACAACTGTTACAGAATTCTAGTTCTCCAGACATCCCAATGTCATGGTAAGCTTGGAGTCTTCGTCCCAGTTGATGGTCTGCTGCCCAGTGAACATTACATACAGAGCAATATGAACCCCATTTTCTTTTCTGGCAGTGAGGTAAAATCAGGCCCTTTTGGAGGAGGAGAAGCCTCACTACATCTCTGCTACACAGGATTACTCTGTCCTTGCCTTCGAAGCTTCCACAGTCCCATCTTCTCAAGCACCACTTAAAAAAAAAAGTTTTATTTACTGATTGATTTTAGAGAAAGAGGAAGGGAAGGAGAGAAACATTGATTTTGTTGTCCCACTTACTTATGCACTCATTGGTTGATTCTTTTAGTTGTTTTGTTTGATCCTCATCTGAGGATATTTTTTCCATTGCTTTTCAGAGAGAGTGGGAGAGCAAAAGATAAAAACATCAAAAGAACATCAATTGGTTGCCTCCCACATGTGCCCCAACCAGGGCTGGGGATTGAGCCTGCAACAGAGGTACATGCCCCTTGGCCCAAATCGAACCTGAAGGGTCCCAGGTTCGATTTGGGCCAGTGTTCTAACCACTGAGCAAAACTGGCCAGGGCTGGTTGATTCTTGTATGTGCCCTGACTGGGGATGAAACCCGCAGCCTTGGCGTACTGGGACAATGCTCTAACCAGCTGAGCTGCCCAGCCAGGGCCTCAAGCACCACTTTTTCATTTTGTTCTGTTCTGTTAATCCTCACCGGAGGATATTTTTTTCCATTTATTTTTAGAGAGTGGAAGGGAAGAAGGGGGAGAGAGACAAACATCAGTGTAAGAGAAACACATTGATTGGTTGCATGAGCTTGACCGGAGCCAAGAATCGAACCCATGACCTTTCAGTGCACAGGCTGACACTCTAACCACTGATTCACACCAGCCAGAGCAAGCACCACTTTTTATTGACACTTAGTTCACCTGGGCTTGTTCTTGTGGGCACACGCATCTTGTCTCCTCTCTTCCTTGTGTCTTCTCCTGTGTTGACTTCCAGAGAGTATGCAGGTATTCCTGATATTCCTGACTGCAGCTGCTCTATCTGTCGAGGGAGAAGAGGAGCAGGGACATTCTGAAAACTGATCATCCAGGTCTTGCATGAGTGAAAGCAAGAAAGGACTTTAGCAGCTGCAGCTTTCTGAGTTTATTAATACCGTTACCTCTAAACTAACATTTAATTTATCAGCCCTTATCCCTTTTAGCCCATAACCCTTCAGTACAAATGCCTATGCCTTCTAGGGCATTAAGCTAGTTTTGTTTTAATTTTTTTTTTCCAATTCAGTAAGGCTTTTCCTTTTTATTTTCCTGTCGGTTGTTTGAAAACAAATTCAGTATGAATAAGAGAGGGAAATATACAACATTGAATTTGGAGGAGAAAATGAAGGTTCTAAGTAGGATTGAAGCTGGACAATCTCTTAAAAATGTAATGGATGAATTTGGAATCAGTAAATCAACATTTTATGACATTAAAAGGAATAAGAAATTGATTTTGGACTTTGTACTGAAGCAGGATATGCCATTAGTCGGGGCTGAGAAGAGAAAGAGGACAACAGGAGCCAAATATGGTGATGTGGACGATGCCGTCTACATGTGGTATCAACAGAAACGCTCAGCTGGTGAACCTGTTAGAGGTGTAGAGCTTCAGGCTGCTGCAGAGAGATTTGCACAGTGTTTTGGGCAAACAGACTTCAAAGCTAGTACTGGTTGGCTTTTTAGATTTCGAAATAGGCATGCAATTGGGGACCAAAAGGTATGTACGGAACAAGTCTTAAGTTCAGTTTCAGAAAATGAGGCATTTCGACAGAAACTGTCCATGCTTATCAAAGAGGAGAAACTGTGTCTAGCTCAACTATATAGTGGGGATGAGACTGACCTCTTTTGGAAATCAGTGCAAGAAAACACTCAGGCAAGTAGAAAAGATATCTGCCTGCCTGGAAGGAAAATACACAAAGAACAGTTATCTGCTCTCTTATGTGCAAATGCAGATGGAACTCATAAGTTAAAGTCTATCATTATTGGAAAATCAAAGCTGCCCAAAAATGTGAAAGAGGACACAAGTACGTTACCTGTTATATATAAACCTAGTAAAGATGTTTGGTTCACCAGAGAATTATTTACAGAATGGTTCTTCCAAAATTTTGTTCCTGAGGTCAGGCATTTTCAACTTAATGTTCTAAGATTCCATGAAGAGGATGTCAGGGCCTTGTTACTTCTGGACAATTCCCCAGTTCACCCTTCTGCTGAATCACTAACTAGTGAGGATGGTCGAATAAAGTGCATGTTCTTTCCCCACACTTCAACCTTGATTCAACCAATGAATCAAGGTGTGATCTTAAGCTGCAAACAACTTTATAGGTGGAAGCAACTTGAAGAGAGTCTTGTAATTTTTGAAGAAAGTGATGATGAGCAAGATAAAGGAGAAAAAGGAGTTTCCAAGATTAAAATCTACAATATAAAAAGTGCAGTTTTTAATTGGGCAAACAGTTGGGGTGAAGTAAAACAAACCACCATAGCAAATGCATGGGAAAATCTTCTTTATAGAAAGGAACCTGAATATGATCTTCAAAGATTAGAAAATAAGGATTATAGACAAAGTCTTAAGAAATGTGGGAAATCTGAAACCAAGCTGGATTGTGATAGGGTGTGGTTAAATGGGGGTGATGAAGAAAAGGGTAGTCCCCCAAAATCAAAAGGTGGGATTATAAAGGAAGTTGTTCAAAAAGGAGGAGGAGCTCAAGAGCAGAATGCCGAATTTAAGTTATCTGCTGTAAGAAAGAGTTTGGACTACCTTCTTGACTTTGTTGATGCCACACCTGAGTTTCAAAAGTTCCATTTCACACTGAAAGAGATGCAACAAGAAATAATCAAGAAACAGTTCCAGAGTAGAGTCCATTCTAGAATTGGTAGCTTTTTGAAACCGAGGCTTCATAATATTAAGGATTCTTTCAGTATGCCTTCGACTTCTGGTTCTAGTAATTAGGTTTTGTGTTTAAAGATTTCTGAAGTTATATGATAATACATGATGTAGACCTATTGTGGATTGTCACTGTTTTTATCAGCTGACCTCATTTTGCATATCAATGTCCATTTATATATTGTTTATAAAATACACAATTTGAAAAATGTATGTTTCTTCAATTTATCAATATCATGTATAAATATATTCATTAATCTATTATTTTTTCTATTTTAGACAAAGACCTGAATAATGAGTATTGTCCTAGATTGTCTAAGATAGAATGGATGTGGGAAAAATATCAAATTCTACCTTAATGTAGTCACAGCATATAACAAAGCTATATTCTGACTAGTTACCTTTAGGAAGATAAGGATAGATTTGCTTTTCAATTTAATGGTATCACATGCTCTGTTTGTTAAAATCTGTTACCACCTACTTAGTGTTTGTTTTCCTCTTATTGTGGAATATGATGGTAGAAGATATATAAAAAAGATAAAAGGCACTCATTCTATTATTGACCAATGATAGTCTCTCAACACTTTGGTATCTTTCATGTATTTATAAAATAGGCAGATTTCATTGTAAATACAATTTTCTATTTCGCTGTCTTAACATTTTAGGCTTTGGTATTAATAAGAAGTTAGCATTTGTTGAGACACCTTTCAAGCTTGGGGTAGAATGGGTTATAGAAGAAGTTGAAAGGTATGTCAGATGAGTTTACTGGACAGCTGTCTAGTTCCTTTTGAGTCATTGCATCCAGTATCTTTTTCTCCCCAATGGTAATAATTCCCAGAATAAATGGCCATCAGTCACACCCTTTTCAAAAGTATCCATTTATCCTGGAAATGTCACATTTCCCTTCTATGCTGGGCACAGAGCACAGCTTTGGGCATTATTTTTTATTTTTAAGCTTTAAAAAAAAAATAGAAACATCGAGACATCAATTGGTTGCCTCCCCAGCTCAACCTGACCAGGGATAGGGGATCGTCCTGACAGAATCAAACCTGCCACCTTTTGGTGTACTGGATAATGCTTCAACCAACTGAGCCACACCGGCCAGGGCCAGTTTGGGCTTTTAGACATGAATTACAAAGAAAACAAATAGGAACAAACTACTATTTAATGTGTAAGAGCTAAAATGAGTATGGAGAGGGCTTGGATAGAAGGGGAAGTATCTGAGAGGGTCCGGGGTGCCTTTTGAGTTGGACTTTGAAGTTCAGTAGCAATCTTGGCAAAAGGGGAGCTTGGGTACAGGCTCTTCGGTGTGAGAGTGCACCTCCCTGGGAAGCTGTAAGGTCCCTGGATGTTTGCTGTTGTGGAGCAGCTGGCAGGTAAGACAGGTCAGGGCTAAAATTTCAATGTCTTTGGGGGTCATCCTAAGGTTTTAGACTTCAGTCTGGGCCCTGAAGTCCTGTCGGTTTTACCTCCTAAATGTCTCACTTCTCCCGCCTCACTGTTTCGTCCAGGTCTAGGCTGCCACCACCCCCTGCCTTGGCGACTGCACCTCTCTTTAGTCTCCCTGCCTTCCTTTCTTGTCCTCTCCCCATCCTTTCCCCGCCCGATAACCATATGAAGGGAACTGAAACAAAATGCGTAGACGCCTCTCCACCTTAAAACCCTTCTTGGTTCCCACTGCCTTCAAATAAACACCCGCCCCCGGAGGGCAGCCACCCTTCCCCACCTGTGAGAGGCCCCCTAACAGGTGCCCATCCCCACCCAATTTTGCGACTACCATCTGCTGGACAGAGAACCGGAGGGGCGCCCAGCCCTGCAAGCGCCTCTGAGGAACCCGAGACATTTCAGGCTGCCATGGCGCCGCCAGTATCCCGGAGAGCGTGTGGAGCGGAAAGCCCTAGGCCCGAAACTGCCGGCTCAGCCCTCGTGGTTGGGGGCCTGTGGGAGCTCTAGCCGGCGCGACCATAGAGCTCCGGCTGATGGGCCAGAGCGGCCCAGGCTGAGCCGGTCAGGCGGCTGAGGGAGAGCCCCAGGGAAGGGAGCCTCCCGGTGCAGCCATAGAGCGCCTGCCGGCTGGCCAGAGCGGCTGGGGTGGCGCGGTCAGCTTGGGGAGAACACAACCCGGCTCAGCTGTAGGGTGCCCGCCAGCAAGTGTCGGTGTGCCCTCATATTCCCTGGGTTCGGTGCCCGGTTCCAAAGTGCCACAGGTGGAGGGGCAAAGGATAAAGGTTTGTCGGAATGTGGCCGCCGATGCATCAGCCCTTGTTCCTCCTAGGGCCCGCTTGGGAACCAGTCCCTTGGAGCAGGCCGGAGGTTTTAGGGAAGCGGCGCCCCATTCTCGATAACAGCGGAAGGCTAAGCTGCAGGAGCCACAAATTCTTTTCTTTGCCCCCACTTGGGAAAGGGAACGGACTGAAGTCTTTGGTTCTGGAAAACATACTGAAGACTAGAGCTCCTCCGAGAAACCTGGGCATCTCACTTGTTCCAATGGCTGGGGCTGGATTCCTATATGTAAGCTGGACCCCCTTCCAGGGGAACGGTGAAACTCTCACGTTCAGAGTGGAGAACTACACCCAGGTTGTGTTTTCCTGCCTTGAGAGAAAGTGAGAATGGAGAGGCAAACAGTTCCTCATAATGTCCAAAACATACTCTAGTATTTCAGAAATAAAATAAGCATTTTCTTTCCCCACCCTTTCTGCCTGGGGAAATCTTACTGTCTCCCTGGAGCCAGTTTGGATCCTGGTGAGTCACCAGTTTTGATTTGCCTGAAGCTTCTGACACATTCAAGGTGTCTCAGAGATGAATTGGGGACATTAACTGGAAGATCTGTCAGAATTTTACTTGTGTGAGGCATTTTTCATCAACCATTTTGTCATTGTTGAATTTACCTAGACTATTCCCACTGCCTCCTAACTCAGGCAAGACTTAGACCATTTTAGTAAAAAGTATATGATGAGAAGGAATTATCAACCTCCCTTTCAAGGATGTAAATCAAGTTTTAATCAGAAGTGCTTGCAAGCTAGATTGAAGACTAAAAGAAAATGCGTCTTAAGCACTTTTGCTTTAACTCATCTTGCTGTTCTTGAGTTCTTGACATGCAACTAAGTTGGGAATTCTAGTGCTAATAAATTTGTTAGTTGGATTACTGTAACATAAAGACTTTTTACATGACTTAAGTTGCTTCAAATACCTGTGAAACATTTACAAAAGTTACAAGTCTTAAAGCAATGGTGGGGATTTTGCCTATTCTAAAATTGTATCAGTTGATAATTTAAATGATGAGCAATAGCAATAGTAATGATTCACTAGCAAATTTCAGATTATATTGACCCATAAATTCTTTCATTTCTACAGTAAAATTTTTTTTTTTTTAAATATATCTTTATTGATTTCAGAGAGAGGAAAGGAGAAGGAGAGAGATAGAAACATCAATGATGAGTCATTGATCAGCTGCAGCCTGCAACCTGGGCATGTGCCTTGACCGGGAATCGAACCCTGATCGCCTGGATCCTAGGTCGACGCTTAACTGCTGACCCACGCCCGGCCAGGCAGTAAAAATTCTTAAAATTATTTCTGATGCGTTTTTCTGGGGGAAAACAATAACAATTTAGTGTTTAACACTACCAGTCTCTGGCCCTTCAGGCTTTGTCCTCATTGCTGTCTGGCCTGCTTTTAGTCTGCCTCTGCCAGGCATTTCACATTGCTTAAATGTGTTACTGATTCTCCACCCAGGAGCCTTTCTGCTGGTCTCCTGTACTACATTTGCTACAAGGACGTGTGGCTATTGCTCAGGGTCAGGCCACATCTCCCAGGTCTCCTTTGTACCCATTTGAACTTAGGGGGCAGGGGTATTTATTGCATCATTCTCCCTTTGACATAAAAGCCAGTTGAAATGTTCTGATTTCTTTTACAAGAGGACAATCAGGTGAAAAGTATTGCATCAACAGTCTGTGCGTAATGTAGAAGTATGAATGTAAAAAGCATACATTTGACCATCCCTTGCAGTGATCTCAAGGGAACCTGCAGTTAAGGGCCTCTCATCTGCTCTTTGAAATGTGACAAGGGAATACCTCATCAATCCTGCCTGTCCATATCAGACTGTTCCCCGAAGTTCTTCCATTGTGGTCTTACATTGATCTCAGCACCAGGTGGCTTAGAAGATAGTCCTGCAAATATTATCTGCCCATAGATGGCACAAATAGGTGAGTACTTTCTATGTACTAGGCACTGTGCTGTTTTACATGCAATAACTTGACATTATCTCATTAAAACAAGGCCAAGAATAGCTATGCATCTAAAATTTGCTAGAAAGGGAGCTACACTGGGGACTGAGTAGAAGCTCCTATTGGAAAACCTTTTTAGTGCCAAATACCTGGGGGTCCTTGTTGCTATAAGCCTCAAGCTGCAGTGCTCTAAGCAGGAGCAACACCAGTTGGACATATCATAAGATCTATATGGGTGATATTATTGGGAGGAGGGAGGTGAGAGGAGGGAGAGTGAAGGGGGAGGGGTACTTTTCATTCTTGTGAGATTTACAATGCACACATTGCAGATCTTAACCACAGAATGCTTAGTAACATCAATTTGACAACACCCACCCATTTCATGGCATCAGCAACCACATCATCCCTGTCCCACTACCACCACCATGGATCCTACACTAATCTCTCTCAAATCCTTAACCCTCCCCTCACCCCCTCCACACACACCCACTCTACCACTGCACTCTTGTAGATAAGAGAAAGGCAAAGAAATGAGAAACAGTAATATTTTAAATAATTGGCTCAGAAAACCAAGGAAAAACTCAGTACTAAACTGAGGCAGGGCTAAGGCAAGACTAATAAGTGGGTGGGGCATTATGGCAACAGTCTGTGTGTAATGTACAAGTATGAATGTAAAAAGCATACATTTGGCCATCCCTTGCAGTGATCTCGTGGGAGCCTGCAGTTAAGGGCCTCTGACCTGCTCTTTGAAATGTGACTACAAGGGAAGACCTCATCATTCCTGCCTGTCAATCTTGAAGATATTTATTACCATCCAAACATTTCTAACAGGGAAAGGGTTGTTTTTCTCACTTAAAATTGTTAATTTGATAGCTGGTTTCCAATGGAATGTTTTATATTTTTCTCCCGAAGAGCTAGTTAGATGTTTTCCTGGCATCAGAATGTCCTACTCCTAGAATACTTCCTGGTATTCTAACCTTTCCCACAGATATACACTTCTAAAATTCCTATTCCTGACTACCCATTCTAAAATATAATGCTTCCCCCTAATAATTTGTCCTCCCCATATATCNCTTTTTCCCACAGATATACACTTCTAAAATTCCTATTCCTGACTACCTATTCTAAAATATAATGCTTCCCCCTAATAATTTGTCCTCCCCATATATCTTCCCTCTACTAATGGGCAATAACTCAGTTACATCAGGACCATCTTTTCCTGGGAATCATTTGTAAAACCAAAATATCCTGTCTCTGAAGAGCCCGATCTTCCTTCAGTTACTTCCCAAGAAATAAAACATTCTAAACAAAAAATTAAAGACAATTCTACTGCTGTACACCGCAGAAGGAAAGAAAATCTCAGAAACCATTACTTTACCCCACTGGGCTTGCCTCTTTGTTACCATGCGACACCCTACCTCAACCCGTTTGCTGCCACCTTTGTGGGTCGCTTCTCAACCAACCCAGACTACAAAGAAAAAGCAGGTCCTCCAACCAAAACAGATGGGAGACAGATCAACACTGGAGGCCAGGACAAAGGCCCTCAATGAAGAGTCACACACTTTCACGGTTCTTGAAGATATTTATTACCATCCAGACATATTTCCAATAGGGAAAGGCATGATCCTAATTTCCCTAAGATCCATGTTTTCAAAGTCTCCTAGGGAACCCATCTTACATAACTCTCTGAAGACTCCGGAGCTCTGATTTACCCTTCTCTGACAGAGGCGGGGCAAGTCTTGATCTCTGCAAAGGGTAGACTAATTTAGACTCCAGTTCCCTCTGCCAATTCCTAGACCTGAAAATTCCTTATTATTTCCCTTAGGTCTCTGGGTCCTTTTTGTCTGAGATGACACTGACATGCATGGCCTGCCAATGGGACCTCCTGTCAGGCAATTGAGAGGAGCTGTGGCTTCCCTGTCAAGGCCTTTGGGAGAGCTACAACTCACCACCAGTCTTTCTTTGCCCTCAAGCTGGTTTCCCAGGAGATTCAGCCCCTCTTCTTTGGTCTCAAGGGCCTCAGGAGCTCAAATGCTCCTGCTGAATGTCCCAAGTGAGGAAGCAGTAACAGAAAGTCATATGGATTCCCAAATTGCTGGGAAAGACCAGACACAGTAAGGCATCCAAATCACAACTTGTCTAAATATGTCAACGGGGTAGGTGCACCATGAGANGGACACAGTAAGGCATACAAATCACAACTTGTCTAAATATGTCAAGGGGGTAGGTGCACCATGAGACAAAGTGGACTTCACAGAGAATTCTGCCCTGAGCAGGTCACCTCAAAGACTTGTCATCCTCACTAGTTCAGACAGAATTCCTTTTCAGTTTTATACTAATCCTTTGCTGCCTCTGCACCTTCCTCACAATAACTCCCATCCCTGTTACTCTTTATAGTAATTACATTAAAAACACAGGTTGATTTGGTCAGCAGGACAAGAAATACCAGCTTTCAACAATAGAACCCTCTGAATATGGTGAAATGAAACCCCATTGTTTCTATCTGGTGTGAGTTCTCTGATGACTCATAAGGCGTGAACTCCGAGAAAAGCTTTCTCCACATTCAGAACATTTATAAGGTCTCTCTCCTGTATGGGTTCTCAGATGACGAATCCGGTTGGAACTGTGAGAGAAACTGTCTCCACACTCATGACAGGTATAGGGTTTCTCTCCCGTGTGAATTCTCTGGTGCCTGATTAAGTTGGATCTATGAGAAAAATTTTCCCCGCAAAGGGTACATTTATATGGTTTCTCTCCTGTGTGCGTTCTCTGATGTCTGGTGAGATGCATACCCTGCCGGAAGCTTTTCCCACAAGTCAAACATTCAAAGAGCTTCTTCTCTGCCTTGTGGGTTCCATGATTTGTAAGAAAGGGGCCACTGTCACTCATTGCTTCCCTACACTCGGAGAAGGAGTAAAGCCTCTCTTTCTCATGAGTTCTTTCATGTATGACAAGGTGGGAACTGCGAGAGAAACTTTTTCCACACTCAGCACACTTATAGGGTCTCTCTCCTGTATGAATTCTCTGGTGCCTAACGAGGTTGGAACTGTGAGCAAAAATCTCCCCGCACTCAGGGCACTTGTAGGGCTTTTCGCCTGTGTGTGTTCTCTGGTGTCTGTGGAGATTGGAGTTGCAAGAGAAGCTTTTTCCACATATATTACATTGATAGGGCTTCTCGCCTGTGTGGGTGCGTTGATGGCGAGTCAGGTGGGTATTCTGACTGAAGCTTTTTCCACATTCGAGGCACTTATGGGCCTCCTCTCCAAAGTGTGCTCTGTGTAGTGATAAAAAGTGTGGGTTCCCGCCAAAGATTTCACTGCACTCCACACCCATACACAGTCTTTCTGCTGCATGTATTCTCTGGTGTCTAGTTAGATTAGAATTGTTAGAGAAATTTTTGCCACACAAGGGACATAAATGGAGCTTCTTTGGCTGCAGTTCCTTTGGCCGCCCTACTTCTCTGCAATTTGTGGCCCCCACTAAGGACTGCACCATCCGATCCTCTGGGGAAGGCTCCCAATGCCCTTCTGCCCTGTCCCCAGGCTGTCCCTGCTCAGGACTCCAGGGCACCTCCCCTCTGGCCTGGCCAGGCAGAAGCACCTGCAGATGGATGTTCTCAGGAGAAACAGACAGAGTACTTTCTTCCCGGCTCTCAAATTTCTCTTCCCCTGGTAGAGTGAGAGAAACCAAATCTCCATATTATTTCTTCCCTAAAGAAAAGAAAATCCCATATGCCTTCTACTGCCAGTAGGTCAGAAATCCAGAAAGGCTGATTGAATCTGTTTTCCATCTTCCCCATATAGGGAAAGCACTCTAGAGAGGTATCTGGATAAAAGGTGGGGCCATCGCTCAGGAACCAGAGCTTAGACCAGTCTTATTCCCTTATAGGGGCCCCCAAATTCCTCTTCAACTGAGCCTCTGGCTCTGCCCTTCGGAAATGGGTGGGATGGAGCAGGGCAGGGACTAGGATAGGCAAGTGAGCCCAGGAGTGAATGCCTCCTTACGTTTTGAACTCTGGGTGCCTCGCCTGCCTCACTAGAATGGAAGTGGGCAGTGGAGATATAGGACGCAATGTACCTTCCTGGCAGCAGTGATGGGCTAGCCCCATACCCAAACCCTCAAATGCCTCACTCCCAACAGGGGGAAACTAGCTGGGCAGGCTGCTAAAGTTCCTTACCTTGGGCTGAGCTTCTGGGGCTCAGTCCCTCCTTGCAAATCTGGACACTGGAATCCCATAGTTTTCTTCCGTGTTCCACCTGGGTGCTCAGGGCCTCCTGACTGGGAATCTGAGACTCTGTTCACAATGAAAGAAATAGATTTCTGTGTCACCACTTTCCTCCACTAGGCAGGGGAAACAAAGACAGTCTTGTTCCCTGTCCTCAGTGGGTAGATACAGAGGGCACGCTAAGCCTGACAGCAATTACTTGGAATATAAACTAACCTGCTAACTTGTTCCCAATGGTTACCTCTAAAGAAAGAAACTGGGGGAGACTATAGCTTTCTTCTTTTACACTTTTGTAGTACTTAGGGTTTTTTTGCAATGATAATGTACCACTTTTGTAATTAAAACAATCAAACGAACATAGAGTAGATGCACCTTAATTCATGCTTGATTTGTTTAGCTCCAGTTTTGACTATACATATCACTTTCAAATTTTCATGTTCCTTGAGGAATCAGTTTAATATTGTAAAAGAGCCTTGACTCTTACATAGAAATAGAGAATAGAACTTAGTTTGGGCAATTCCAAAAAGAGAAAATATGATAAACAATCATATTAGGACAGGGGGCTCTGAAAGGACTCTGAGGTCAAAATCCTAAAGTGCCATTCCTGTGCTATGCTAAAAACAAAACCTCACTCCAACTCCAGGAAACATGGACTTTAAACAGTTTAGTTTTCCGACTTGTGATCTCAACTTCTCTTCCTATTTAGCACTCACTGAAAGCTGTGCTCAACTGAGGGCACCAAACCACAGCAGGGTGATGGGGAACCTGGAGAAGGTCTCAATTAAGGGAATCAAACCCAGCAGTGACCCCTTTGCAGAATTAGTGACAGTGGAGACTGACAGCGGGGCTTCTTTACAAAAACCTAATGTATGAAAACAAAGTCCTATGTGACTCTTCTATGGTGTGTGCATCAATGTAGCCATAATCGTAATGGACACATTCCTGCCTTAGGTTGTTTTTTAAGTCTTCCCCCAACTTTTATTATGAGACTTTTCATATATACATAAAAGTTGAAGAAATTAAACCATACCTGTACACTCTTCACCTAAATTCTGAGTTTTGTATACTCTCCACCTAAAAAACTATGTTTTGCCATTTTTCATAGGCATCATTTTAAATGACTGCATAATAGGTAAACACACAGATGCACCTTAATTCATGCTTGATTTGTTTAGCTCCAGTTTTGACTATACATATCACTTTCAAATTTTCATAAGTTCTTCCCCAGTTCCTGAATTTTTAAGGTCTGGGAGAGCTGCTAAGCTGGAATGTTGACGCCACTGCCCCTGAAATCTGTCTTTGGGGAAGAGCCTAGAAATACTAACAAAGCATAGAAAACACAAGTGAGATCACAAGAATAAGCATTTCAAAATTGCAATGCATCAAGAACTTATAGTTCCACAGCATCCTAGGACACTGAGTGTAATGCCAGGAAGGGAGGCAATCACTGGATTTGATTTGTTCTGCCTTGGGAAGTCCATTATAGCTCAGACTCCTTTCCTTTACCTCTGGCAGCTGGGGCCCATAAGTGTGCCAGATGTGCCACTTGGAAGATGTTTAACCCATCCTAGTTCAGGGGATTTTAGAAAAAGGGAGGTCTTTTGGAAAAATTGGGAACTTATATCCGGGAGGTGAGCGGCTAAGACACAGGAACCTGGTCAGAAATGGCTCAGTCTTCATCCCTGGAAAAGAAGTCCTTACCCAGTGAGTCCACATTCTCATAACTCTCCTGCACCGTGTCCCTGGAGAGGGCCCTCTTACTAGGATCCTGATGCCCCCACTCCTCCTGGGAGATGTACATAGTCACGTCCTCTAAGCTCTCAGGCAACTGAAACAGCACAAGATCTCCTTTAGCCCCTGAGGCACCAAGAACAATTCAAGCAGAGTCAAGGGTTAAAGGGGCAATACCCAGGAGTGCCGAGGACACATTTCATGGGGAAGAAGGGTGCCAGGCCTAGGAGTGAGGTGAGGAGGAGGCATATAAAGAAGGCAGGGGAAACACACTGGTGAGGGAGAAAGGATCCTCTCCAAGTGGCAAAAGGACCCCACCACCACAAGAGCAACACAGGGTGTGTGTGTGGGGGGGTATGTGCTAGGGGAAGACATTGGGAACTTCCCACATCACCTGGGGCCCAGCCATCTTGTCTTCCATGTTTCCTTCGGGAGGAAAGAGAGAAAGCCAGGGAGCAGATAATGCTGAAGGTGATAGAAATCATGATGAGAATGGCATTCCTAATTCTTGACAACCCAAGGATTATTACAACATAGTATCCATTTCCCAACACCCAGTCTCTGCTCTGAGGACTGAACACTGAACAAAAGAAGAGAGGCACAATTAAGCCATTTCCAAAATGGCATCCTAAATGCAGGGGTGAGGATAAGGAATACCAGTAGTCTGTCTGCAGAGTTCAAGCCCTCAATCATTCATCTAGCTCTAAATGTCTCTGTTCTGCATACGAAAGAGCTAAGAAATCGCCCTCCCTCCATCCAACCCCAGAGCCCAACCACCACTTCTAGGTCTTTCACTCCATTCTGAGAAGTTAAGATCAGAAATTCCCTCTCCTTGGCATAGGTGCTCCATCCTGCAGATGTCAGAGGCAAACCCAAAGCCCCTCCTCCCGCCCACCTACCCAGATAACTGTTCCTCACCCCTCTCCTTTACAGCCTGGGAGTCCCTTTTAGGGCTGGGGCCTAGCAGCTCCTGCAGCCTGGGACCAGGGCTTCGCTCAGGCTCCACTGGCTCCAGCTTGAAGCTCGGTGACTTTCGTGCTGTTTCCAGAGACAAAGGCTCCTCCAAAAGCACTTCTGTTCCCCGCCCATGGTTTGTGACCTGGGAACCAACCCATATTACTCATCATCACAACAGGGCCCCACCGGAAAGGAAATTAGTACAGAATTCTGAGGGCCTTCAAAAGTGAATCACTGGTGCATACCTTTGGACCCAGCAAGAGAGAAGGATAGTTTCCATTACAGGTTTTTCTGATCCCAAGTGCATGAGAAAAAATGAGGGTGGGGGGGGGGTTAGAGGGAGACGGGTCTACTACCAAAGCACACCTGCCCCACAGGTCTTCTGGACACACCTCACTACCTCTTACTTGTCCCCACCTTTTCTAGATGCTTCCATTCCTCACTACTGGGTAAGTTAAACTTGAATGGCGCCATGGGCAAAAGTGCCCTCAGAGCCTGTGCCAAACTGGTTTTCTAAGTCCACTATTAACTCCCACCAAGCTCTGCATAGGAGACCAGACTACTGACCCTAATATAACAAGAGCTAACAGCTATTAAGCACTAACTACAAGCCAACAGTGTGATCAAAACTACATGGCCCTGGCAAGATGGCTCAGTTGGCTGGAATGTCGTCCCGGTATGCCAAAGGTTCCGGGTTCGATCCCCAGTCAGGGCACATACAAGAATCAACCAATGAATGCAAAAATAAGTGATATCTTGAAGAAACAAATCGATGTCTCTCTTCTTTCCTCTTTCTAAAATCAATTAAAAAAAAAAAAAAAGTATGTCTGACAGTAACAACTTGCTTGCTTCAGTGCACCAAGCAAAATAAAAAATACTGGTAAAAGTGTGATTCAGAAAGTAGTGTGGCTGTTTAAAGCTGTGATTTTCAACCAGTGTGCTGCAAGAATTTGGGGGTGTGGTGGGCATTACATGCTGCTCTCCCTCTAAGCCCCAAAGCAACACTAGGAGGTATTTTATCATTCTCATTTTACCAGTGGCTATCTGAGGCCCCAAAGATTAAGTAACTTGCCCAAAGTCACAATGCTAGTATGAAACAGTAACGATTTGAACCCTGCAAGCTAAGTCCCGGGCTCACACTAATGCAGAGACACTGACTCCATGTGGAAACAGTACACTCTTCACTACTCACTGTCCATTTGGATAAAATCTGAAGGATGACTGTTCCTGACTAAGCTACAAAAAGGCCTCTTTCCCATGTAAGGCCTTTTCAGCGAAACCAAGTAAATTCGTATAGGGAACTGGGGTGGGCACGCTGTCCCAGTCCTGGGGCCAAAGAAACCGCAAAAAAAAAACAAAACCACCTCTTTTTCTCACCTGTTGCTTCAGTTTCCCAAGCTCTCTCTGCATATCTTCCACAAGGGTTACTGCTTCCTCGCTGCTCTCCGGATGCAGCTCCTGCACCCTGCTCTGGATCTCCTGGGGCAGGATGATTAGAAACTGCTCCAGCACCAGCAGCTCCAGGATCTGCTCCTTGGTGCGCATCTCAGGCCGAAGCCACCCATGGCAAAGCTCCTGGAGCCGGCTGAGGGCTTCCCGGGGCCCAGCGGCCTCTTGGAAGCGGAACCGTCTGAACAGCAGGTGGGAGGCCTCCGGGCTGGGCCCTGGGTCTGGCGGGAGCAGCTCCTGGTTCCAGGCGCAGTCCTCCTCCAGTTTCACTATCAGAAGCCCTTCCTGATCCTGGGAGCCAGGGCCCGACGCCATCGTCAGGCCCTTGTAGTGCCTTACCCCGGGAACCAGCTACGCCCGCCTGGAAAGGAGCCCCCAGCCTCGCGCAGAGATGGCCGGCGTCAGCAGGAGCCCGAGGACCCTGGGTGGGCTTCAAGTCCCGGCCGAAGAGCCAGCTCTAGCCAGGCCGCCGCCGCCTCCGGCGCCTTGGCCTCAGTCCGTCCCGGGAGCCGCCGCGCCAGCCCTCCCCAGCCCTCCCCAGGACCTCCCTAGGGAAGGACCTAAGCGCCACGCTTCTCCCTGCGTCGCGGACTCACGCAGGACTCAGGGCTCGGCTCCCACGCCGGAAGTTTCAGCGCGAGAGTTACGCATCCACAGCCAACGGCGCCTGCTCGGAACCAACTTCCAGGTCACGTTCTGCGAACTACAGCGCCCATTGGGCCAGATCTCGCCACAGATTCACCACCGACCAACCAGAAAGGGAGATTTATCTGCAAGGACGGGACAAGCGAGGGGCCAATTCGAGACGAGAGGCCGGGTCACCCGGCGAGTCCCGAGACTCCAGAGTTTCCTGGGGTTGGCCAAAGGAGGGGAAGGGTTCGCTATATAGATTTGTAAAAGTGATCCCAAACGGGTGTGACCGGCGGGCTACCTGCGTCAGAATTCCCCGGAAAGCGAACATACAAACCCTCGAGCCACGTGAGATCCAATGCGTCTAAGTGTCGGGGTGGGCCGGAAATCCGAATTAACATCCCTCCCCCCCCCC